GTATTTTTTGTTGTTGTTGATGTATGATTGAAGCTTGTTTGGTGGTGTTCAAATACGTATACTATAGAATAAAAAATTGGATTTTACACATGTTAATGCTTTTGAAGTGAGGAATTACAAGTTAATTCAAGAATTGGTTTTCTCTAGAGATTAGTGCAGGATGGCTATGTTGTTCGTCCGTCGTAGTCGACGATGGCTATAAGTAACAGTTGGTACTATATGTAGCGTTACATGTGCTTATACCTTTTACTAGTAAAAGAAAACACAAAGTACATGCTGTAGTGAAGGGTACTAGTAATACATGTACACAATGTTGAATAATGTTAGACCAGATAGATGTAATATGTATTTCTTTTTTGTGTTCACTTCTATAGCAGTCTGAGGTCACTCATTGAGAAACCACCCATAGTTGGAAAGGAGCTGTATCAGTTGTCAGGACCACAACTTCAGGGCTTCAGGTTACATCCAGGGCCGGTGGGTATTCTTTTCCTTCTCTTGAAGATACACGGTGGTATGGTGGCTTTTTAGTTAGGGTGAACTCATAATTACAAGCATTTTACGTTCTAATCCCTGCCAGGCCTCAGTGTTGTGACCTTGAGAAAGGCACCAATGTCCTTCGTCACTTACTAGTAGGTGATAATGTCCTCTTATATGGGATGTAATGCCTGTTTTTAATGAGACAGACACTTTACAGACAAGACTTCATTTCTCAAATATATTATTGTGTATTTACTATTTGTTTGTTCACCGTTGAAAATGTCATTGTTTTGTGATCATCAGAAGAACTAGTATAGATAGTAGATTGTGCAATATACTTTAACCATAACTTCTTGCGTTATTTTCTTGCTGAACCCTAGATCCCAGAGCAGTACAGATTACTTCACCAGCAGCCTCCAGCCAAGAAGAAACATAAAAACAAGAAGCACAAGCGTGAGCACAGTAAGACCAGTGAGGGTATGTCAGTCCAGGATAGCTCTCAGAGCCACACAGGTAAAACTGGTGCTGGACCATTCCATTCTCCCAGCAGAACAGGGGAGGCAACCACAGGAGATGCCACTCCACAACACAAATCTTATACGTCTGTCTTCTACAATTCTCAGTGTCTCTGCCATCCTGTATATTCTACCCCTATTGTAGGATTTTGGAGCCAAAATTGGAAATGCTCCACAAATATGAGCAAAATAGTTCATTTGTGAAAACCTCAGAGAAATATATTTTTGTCATTCTACCACATTTCAAGTGTTTATCTATGGCAAAAAAACACATCTTGTGTTGAACAAATATGTAGCCAAATTGTAAATAAAAAAAATCCCAGGTTCATACTGTACAACATTGTAGAATTTCCACTTTACTGTATCGCTAGCAATGAATATAAGCTACATTTGAATTATCATCTGAACAAATGAATAAACAACATTGATTTTTGATTGTTCAGATCCTACAATAGGGTTCTTTACAGACCACAACATTCTAGTATCAGAGACCAGCCAAATTATGAATCACTTCCGTACATGTATACCTGCAAGCATTTTCTCTCCCTGAAATGCAGCTTTCCACTATTTTTGCAGACTTTCTGCCACTCTCCACATGTCTATCTTCCTATTTCTATTTGGTGAAGGCCTTCTGTACATACTCTCATGCATTGTCAATGAACAGATGTCCATGGACAGAGCTGGACTATGGACAACCTCCCTCCCCTGTATTGAGAATGGAATGGTCCGTTTGAGTGTTGTGTTTTTTGAAGGACTGGCTTTGAGCAGTGCCTGCATGATCGTACTCCTCATTTTACCTTGAGAAACTGGCAGTTAAGGTTACTTTATTTTTGTATACATTTTGTAATTCAGTGACAGGTGGAGTAGATTACATGTGTATTGCATGCTTTGGTGACACATTTGCATTTGATAAGTCAAATAATATGCTATCATTTCACTATTGTATATGGTGCACTTGTGCAGCAGAGTGTCACATTATCAATTTTTGATAGCTACAGATTACTTCACCAGCAGCCTCCAGCCAAGAAGAAACATCGAAGCACAAGCGTGAGCACAGTAAGACCAGTGAGGGTATGTCAGTCCAGGATAGCTCTCAGAGCCACACAGGTAAAACTGGTGCTGGACCATTCCATTCTCCCAGCAGAACAGGGGAGGCAACCGCAGGAGATGCCACTCAACAACACAAATCTTTTTCGTCTGTCTTCTACAATTCTCAGTGTCTCTGCCATCCTGTATATTCTACCCCTATTGTAGGATTTTGGAGCCAAAATTGTAATTGCTCAACAAATATTGGCAAAATAGTTCATTTGTGAAAACCTCAGAGAAATATATTTTTGTCACTCTACCACATTTCAAGTGTTTATCTATGGCGAAAAGATGACAAGCACATCTTGTGTTGAACAGATCTATATGATTATGAAGCCAAAAAAATCATAGGTTTTTAACATGTTCATACTGCACAATGATATAGCATTTGTACTTTGCTGCATTGCTAGCAATGAACATAGCAACAAACTACATTTGAATTGTCATCTGAAGAAATGACTAAACAACATTGACTTTTTGATTGTTCAGATCCTATAATAGGGTTCTTTACAGACCACAACATTCTAGTATCAGAGACCAGCCAAATTATGAATCACTTCCGTACATGTATACCTGCAAACATTTTCTTTCCCTGAAATGCAGCTTTCCACTGTTTTTGCAGACTTTCTGCCACTCTCCACATGTCTATCTTCCTATTTCTATTTGGTGAAGGCCTTCTGTACATACTCTCATGCATTGTCAATGAACAGATGTCCATGGACAGAGCTGGACTATGGACAACCTCCCTCCCCTGTATTGAGAATGGAATGGTCCGTTTGAGTGTTGTGTTTTTTTGAAGGACTGGCTTTGAGCAGTGCCTGCATGATCGTACTCCTCATTTTACCTTGGGAAACTGGCGGTTAAGGTTACATTATTTTTGTATACTAAGTACATTTTGTAATTCAGCGACATGTGGAGTAGATTACATGTGTATTGCATGTTTTGGTGACACATTTGCATTTGATAAGTCAAATAATATGCTATTATTTCACCACTGTATGTGGTGCACTTGTGCAGCAGAGTGTCACATTATCAATTTTTGATATCCAGAAGATGCTGATTTTGAAATCACTAGAAAATATGATTAAGCTTGAAAATCTACTGTCACATTGGATGGTGCTTGTTTATTGTTTATTGTTTATTTGAAGGATCTCCATTTGTGAGTATAAGCATACGCTTATACTCACTATTCTTCCTGGAGTCTTAAAAACAACATTACAAACTTATAACACAGACGTATATACAGTTGCTTATTGCCACACATAAAATACAACAACCTGTAGCAATTACTTAACCTATCCTATCCTATATACAACAAGTAATAAGGTGTACGTAAGAGATTGTTTGAGAGGTCAGAGGTCAGTGCAATAAATAATACATACAGGTGCTCAAAGACATATGAACATCAGCATATCTGTACAAATTGTGCAGTGATCAAGAGCACAACAACTGCTTGACAATAACAGGCATTTTTGAAGCAGAATTCTTTAGATTATTTTATTATGCTGGGGTTTACAAATAGCAGCAAAACAATGTGCACTGAGGTCTCCTCAGTTTCTAGTGGTACAGTATCAATACATGTACAATAGCTTGCTGGTTGGTTCATATCTGTGTTGTTTTGCTCTACAGATGGGGGAGCAAGCAGCACGGCAAGTGGGGAAAAAGAGAAGAAAACCAAGAAGCAGAAGAAGCACGAAGACAGCGAAAAGAAAGAGAAGAAGAAAAAGAAAGATAAAAAGAAGAAAAAGGTTGGCATGATTTTGATATATTTTATTTCTTTTTGAAATATGGGTGTGTTAGATTTGATAACCTTACCCTGAATGCTTATATTAAGAAAGCAACTGTGTTTTGTATGTTTCAGACTGGGAGCACCTGAGAAGCAGTCTTTCTACTGAAGGTGTCATTGTATAATATCTTTGCCAGTCAGAGGGCAGCTAGAGCACAGACCCAACCACCTGTCAATCATTCATGCAAATTACATGCAAATTATTTACTCATCATGCACTAGATAGAGTTTCTTTTGTTTGTGGAGTCATAGTAGGAGAGAAAATTTCAACGATGCACTTGAGGGACATTTTATAATATGGTGGGCATTCCAAAAGTTATGTTTTCATCCTAGTTTTGCTGACCTTATTTTGAAAGCTTGGTGCTCGTTTCATTTCCATGCTTCACTGTTATTTAGTACATGTACCTGTTTGTGCTACATACAATAAAGACTCTTTCCTTTGGTTTTCTGCATTCATCAGATGAAATCCTATGTAAAGGGTCGATGGGCGAAGCAAACTGCACTCTGAAGAATTTACAGCAAACTTTCTGTGACAGCCAGTTTGTAATGTTTTGTGATATTTGTATTATATTTATAACAATCATGATTATGATAGTGTCAGAAATTATTGTACAAATACATGATTGTTTTTCTCAAAGTATACCTGTGGCAAAATATTCCAGTATTCCTGTAATGCACTTGTCAATAGAAGTCTTGTCAGTACAAGGGGATACATGTGGCAAAGTTGTTATGGACTTGTCTCTACCAGTACAGGTATTAGTAATATAGATGTACTAATATTTCCTTTTCAAGGTGTTTGAATACTTGTCAACAACATCCATATGTTGAATATTTTGATATCTATTGCCTTCATGTATACCCACATTTATTTTTACAGAGCCAATTGTGCTGTGTCACAACCATGTCAGACTAAACATAGTGACTTACATGTGTACCAGTCCAGAGTTTTATACCCTGAGGAAAAAAAAAACATTTGATGGGAGCAACCTTCTTGTTGGAATGACATTTGAAATGTGTCAAGTATATGGAACCCATATATCATCTAACCACAATGTCTCACTAAAAATCAGGCCCTTCCCTAATGATCATTCCCCAATTGTACAGACATGTATTGTGTGATGCTTCCTAATAGGGGACTGTTAACTAGTACATGTAAGGGGATTGATGTGATCCAAACATTTCTCATGCAGAAGTGATAGCACAGTCATACATGTAGGTTACAAGAAAATGATCATTACTCCTTATCATTAATGATCACACTCATTCTTTCCTAGATCTATTGCAGTACAGTAGGGTACATCATCATTAGATAGCTTTAAACAATGTTTAGGTTAAGATGTTGAAAGGTTCGTTCAGTGTAATGTAGCCAGCTACAGCCGCGCCACGTGACTGCAAAGCTGGTGTGTTACGCCGGAGGGCGGCAATACCGGCTATACAGAATACACAGATACATTACTAGTGTGATGAAGTGTCTTTTGCCCCCCCCCTTACATGTATTATAGCACAGTCCCCTGAGAAGCTGTACAGTAATGGTATAGTGTGGTGTTGAACCAGGTTTAGCTCTTCAGATGCAGCTAATGAGACAAATCTAATTATTCCCTCACCCATTGGCCATCGTGGAAATTCAAGTATCTCTATCTCTGCATTGTGAAAAGGTTGAATTTTATTGTTTGTCACTAGTACTGTCTATACAGGATTATTGTGGGGAGAGGGACATTACTCATAGAAATATTAAAACCTGAATGTCTGCTTGACCATATCAGCAACAAATTTTGTGGTTTATTGATTGTTGTTTCCCACCATGAACATGTTAAGGCCATTAATATTTGATGCAGAAATTGGGAGTTGGTGGTTGCAATTTTGTACAGGATGACCAAGACAATTCTACCTGTAAATAAATAAGGTGCAGAACTGCTATCTGTGGATTTGTTTTGCTTTTGAGTCACATACACACACACAAAGCAATACTACAATATACAATGTCCATTTCCTTTTTGATACTTTTATTCCCCACCACAATACATTAAGACTGATAATATGTCCCATTTATATAGATGGCAACAAACAAAACAATGTTTTCTTACTTAAGTTAAGGTCTCCTTGCACATATGATAATGTGCACTACTGGTACCTCATAAAGAATATATAACAGTTATACATTATATATATTTAGACTGTTCCTCTGCATGTAGAAGCCTCACATGTATTCTGTAACAGTGGGATTCCCCATTAAACATCAAAAGCATTTCATGGAGCACACCTCCTTATCATTTTAAGTGGGGTGTTTTTAGCTTCGCTGTAACCTCTTGAGAATTCCTTATGCCAACAAACAGTTCTTCATTTCATTGTTTGTTTTATTGTTTCAACTGTCAACTTAAAAGATACCAACAACTTTTCATTATCACCATGCAGCAAACTTAAATCAATTTACATTAGGTAGTACATATACTCTAGATCAAGCAAAATTGAATGCAATCATGACATTGAAATGTATATCTTTACTATTGTAATCCTTCCAACTTTCGGCTCTTCAAGTTGAAAAGACTATTACATGATAGCAATCTCTATCTGACAGAGATCAGCGGAAGGCATACAACAGCAGCAGAATGACACAGACACCTATCACCGCGCCCAGGATTATAGAGTCCCGTCTCTTCCTCAGGTTTATCTTCTGGAACAGGTTATTTATCACCGGGAAACGTTTCGCTAGCGTGTTCATCTTCGTCGTGATTCCTCCCAGCATCCCCTTCTGCCCCATCAGGTTTTCCTTGGTTGCCATGGCAATGTTAATCGCCTCGTCGGCGACTCGGTCCGCGTTCCGCGTGTGTTCCTGCTCCTTCAGAAGCAAGTCCGTTCTCCGGTTCTGCACCGACGAACCTTTGTGGTAGTTGTCGATCTCGCGGCGTACGGATCCCAGCAGCTCCTCACGGTCACGGTAGGCAGAAATGTTCGTCTTGGTTTTGTTGAACTCGAGCGTGTAGTCCTGGAGGATGTCGCGGTGTCTCTGCAGGGTGTGCATGAGGGACGGGTTGTTGGTGTGGATCCCGCCGTTCTGCGAATACTCCGCCATCTTGTCGTTGACCTCATTCAGCTGGAAAACAACAACACCTGAGGTCATGAACATCTACGGGCACATACAACTACACATGTAATTTGTAAATGAAAATTCAATTTGAATACATCTTACATACTTCAACATACATGTACATCTTGAGCCATACTTGTGTTCTTTTCTATAGTATGTATTCTTAGACTACCAGTAGTAAACTGCAAAGAAGAATATAAATTCAGACATGATAAGGGGGGTGTCCTGTTACCTTCACCAGCAGCTGTTCTATCTCCAGGGCCATGGTCTCAAACATGTGCTCACTGTTGGTACTGCCTAGTAATGGGGACGTCTCTGCCCTTTTAAGTTATCAAATACAAAAAAAAAGTTACATTTCAGTCCTAATCAAAATCATCCATGATGAACAAAGAGTACATTTTGAATCTCTGACCTCACAAACTGACATAGACAAGTTAGTATTAGAAAGATTTAGACTTAAAGAAAATTTTTGACATCTTTATAGTTTCATCAGGTTGTTAAAGTTGCTAAATAAAGAGACTCTTTTTCTGTATGATATTTTAGTCTGTCTATGGTCCTTACCTCCTGGAGTCCTGTGCATGTCCCTGACTGGAGTAGCTGGTACCCAGCTTGCTGAAGGAGACCAGCTTCAGGTCAATCTCATTCTCCAACTGACGGGCCTGCTTCCGCAGGTCTACAAGGAGGGAAATACAAATATCAAATGCAGGCCTCAGACTCCTTTTGTCTACATGTACACTGGTGTATGTAGGTAATGCGAAAAAAATTTTACTACTAAAATAAAACCAGTCCATCAAAAACAATGGTCAGATAATGTTTCGTGTAACAAGCACCTTGGGCCTAAGTGTACATAATTTTTTCATGAGTAGGCATGTACACTGAGGCCCAAGATACATGTACACGGTGTGCATCGATACTGGAATCTACACTTCACACATAACGTTACTTTATCGGAGACTTTCTCCTTTACATGCAGCAAACTAGGAAAAGCAAGACATTAGATTGACACGGACCAATTTGAAAAAAAATGAGCCTAGGATGGCCTTCTATATGTCAGGAAAATATCGTTCCATACAGGAAGTGCAAAACCATATGCTCCTGTTCTTGACTACATCTACAAATGTACTAGTAATTAGATGTGCACGGAAAACAGGTTCGTCATCTGGCCACTCTGATCAGGCGATTTTTAAACGTGCTACAGCAGACGGGACAGTCCCATGCGGGGTTACGGTTAGAACTGATGCTAGGGGACACAACGGCGCGACTTACCCTCGAAACTCATGGTTAACCTGACGTGCTTACGTGGAACTTGGTTCAAATTGCGCACCCACCTTCCCAAACATTGCCAGGGCCCGCCATTTTGTTTCACTTGACGTCACTTTTTCCGGAATCGTCCATTGTACCCAAGGTAAGAATTCTCGAAATCTCTGTCATAAAGACCTGGAAAAAGTGACCTCAGCAAAAATCATATGTACAAATTGATACAAAATATATTCCATAAACGTTCTTAACATTCTCTGTGAAATCAACAATTTCAAACACCCCCTTTGTAGCAAGTAAAATGATCCACTTCCGGGTTGAAAGTCAAGCTCACGTGTTGAAGAGGAGCCTAGATCCGGGAAAGCACGGAAACATCATGGTTGTCTCTGTAAAAGTCGAGGGTTTGAGCGCCTTTCTAGAGGCTGTCGAGAATCACAAAGGGAAAGCAATCTTTGCGCTGTTTACTGGCTCCCACGACGCACAGGGGAAGAGCTGGTGTCCTGACTGCGTTGCAGGTAAAGACAAGATCTATATTGATTTTATGCAGAAATTATTTTCCACGTTCAAAGACTTCAAATCCATAAGAATCCATTGCATATCCATTGCAGCTTTAAAAAGAAATTAGGACAATAGCATCATACTGCTTGATATCCTGCGTACTGTCATTTTTACGTCTTTATAGATTTTCCTGTAAGATAAAATTGCAGCCTTTAATTATGCAAATGACATCCAAATTTACATAATGTTGTATGCATAGTCACATGATAGTGGTGCTCCCTTAAAATATCACTAATAATCCTGTGTCTTCCCAGCTGACCCAGTAGTAGAGCAGTGTGTGAAGGGTGCTCCTGAGGATGCTGTCTTCATCACATGCTCTGTAGGCGACAGGGCATTGTAAGTATTCCGATTGGCTTACTAACTATATATTTTTGGCTAGATACATGACGTACATATTATCTGCTTGCCGATTACTTCATAACTATTCAACAGCTAAGTGAGGCAAGTATGAGGTTATTTAGGTCCTTTTTTGATAGATGTTGCTTGATATGTTTTAAAAATAAAATACATTTAATATTCTTCCTGTTGCAGCTGGAAGGACCAGAACAATGAATTCCGCACTCACCCCAAGCTGAAGCTGACCAGTGTGCCCACCCTCATTAGATGGGAAACGGTTGGTCCCTGTTCTTGAACCATGAGGAGTTTTGAATAGAAATTTTTTATCTCCAGATGTTTGGAAGTTAAAGCAGAGGCAGCACTGCTACCATCTGACTAGATATAGCTCATCTCACATTTTAGTGTATCATCATCCCTGAAACAAATGAATGTGATTGTTCTTTTCAAGAAGTTTTTACCTCCTTTTTCTAACCCTTTGTAGCCCCAGAGACTGATGGAAGAAGACTGTGCCAAGAGTAACCTGGTCTCAATGCTCTTTGAAGAGGACTAGGATGGAGGAAACAACATATAGATGTCAGCTGTCCTGTCCAAAACCCTCCTTTAATTCAGGAGGGCCATTTACTTTAATGTAACACAAAATGCACTTGGCGGTTTATCCAAGTTTTAACCACCTCATTGTTAATCAAATTGTCTAAGGGAGGGAGTGACAATAGTTTGTCATTGCCTACAAGACAAAGGCATGCAGCCCCAACTCCCCTCCCACACCCAGGTACTACTGAATGTAACCAACGTAGAATGATGAAAAAGGAACTGTACTGTAGCTTGATAACTGCAGCCTGAAAAAAGTCATGGTTTGGATTAAAACAATTCTTACCCATATTTTCAGATTCTGTGCTCTTCTTTTTCAAATACATGCACATGTATTGTTATTTGTATTTAGTATCCAAGATCCACACATTTCAACAGATCACACATACACATTTATGATTAGGTTCAATGAAAAAGTATTGGTTGTATCCATTTTTATTTAGCTCTTTTTGCAAACTGTACAAAATTACTGTCACAGGTACATGGGCTGGAGCCACATCACAAAATTATGTAACAGTTGTCTAGCAGAAAATAGTTCTTACCATTTTTGGTATCATTATAATTTTTCCCAAATGTAATGTTTCTAAAACAGACACATTTCACAGAACAATTTAGTCATGATTAAAAAATAGACAAATTTTGTTTGAAATATGATGGTCTTTATCAAAACAGCATTTTTTCAAACATCACAAAAGCACTGATTCTTTTAAAACAAGCAACGTTTTTGTCAAATCACAATTTACAAATTAGGCCACTAAGGTGACCAGGTTAGAGAAAACTTATGCTGGTTTATAAGTGCAGAACAACATGAACCAACTGCCAGTACAACTACCAGTACACAGACAGTAGCACAATAAAACTACTACTAACTAGTAGGGTCTAATGTATATACATGTATTATAGTTAGTCTCTAGGATAAACACATTCACTATTTCATGTAGGCTGTGAAATTAGGACCACACAGTGTTAATTAACTGGTCCCATTTCCTTCCCACTCAGTGTGTTGTCAACACATACACATACCTTAGAGGCAGTGATATACGTACATGCATGAATCTGAGAACTTAGTAAACACCCGTTTTATCTTCTAGGTTAGTAGCATAACACAGATATATCTTAGCATGTAAGCTACACTGAGCCCAGGCTACCCATGTGCCCTATGTATATAAACCCCCAACATACATACACCTTAATCTAATTTTATTCTAAGTGGCTGCAAAACCCTTTTCCGGTCCCCGAATCCTCCTGGCCAGCTGGATGTCCCTGGGCATGAGGGTGACTCTCTTGGCATGGAGAGCACAGAGGTTAGCATCCTCCAACAGACCGACCAGGAATGCTTCTGCTGCCTGCAGTGTACGAAAAAGTCACAAGGTAATTCAGTTTCTTTTGGCCATTGTTCAGGCCACTGCTAGGTTGAAAGTTGAAACATCTAGGAACAAATTAGCCTGGTTGCCATCCGTTTTGTAAAGTGGTTTCTTGCACTCACTAAAAAAAACAGCGGGTACAAAAATGGATGGTTCCCAGGCTATGAGTATGAATGAAGCCTGGAATCCATCCTTTTTTGGCTCTGGCCCATGATGTTGGAGCAAGAAGATGTTGCCAACAAAACACAGCCATTTAACGTTATCGCAAAGCTAGTTAAAGAAGGCCGTGATGCCTGGCTAAATGTCAAGATGACCTAACATTACCTCCTGTAGAGCCATGATGGCATAGGCCTGCCACCTGAGGTCAGTTCCTCCAACTTCCTGACAGATTTCTCGCACCTGGAGTGGATAAGAAGAGAGATAAATTACTGGAAATCACGTTCACGATTTCACATTATTAAACCAAGTTACTGTCTACACCACACCAGGAACATGTACCATCTTGTATTACTAGACATACTAGTACTGTCTCTGGGCTGAAGATAATTTTAGTTTCAGTTATCTCGGTTGAGGATACAAATGAAAAATCATAACTTATTACTATCAGGATAACAGTAACCCAACGAATATTATCTAATGAATGTATATTCATTAACTGTCATTTTCTTACCACTCTTGAAAAAGGCAGCTTCCTCAGGAGCAGTTTTGTAGATTTCTGATATTTCCTGATCTCCATCAGTGCTCTTGTGCCTGGGCGAAATCTTCTCTTCTCTGCAAATCCAAATATTTAAGGGTTAAATTACCCAAGGACGTTTTATCAGATATCATAGAACGTCCTTATTTACCAATGGTACTAGTCCTCACTTTGGCTCTTGTCCTCATTTTTTGGGGGGGATGATACGATCATAGGACTTTCTGTAATTCTGTATGACCTTTATTACTCACCTGTGGGCTGTACCTACAAAATTATGTAACATAAATTTTCTTTATGCCCTTGCTTGAATCAAGATAGGATCATCTAAACTTCTGACGAAAAGGGACCCACGAAAAGACATTACATTTACAATGTATGTTGTTGTACATTAACCTGACATCTACATCTACATCTACATCTGACGGACGAACGACATGTTGTTGTACGCAGACGACGCGTAGACATGTTTGCACATCTGTGTAGCAAAATATCAGAAATCTGTATTATGAAAAAGAAGGGACAACTATCCATCACTCATCAATGAAATATCCATCGTTTCAGGACCATAACATGGCATTTTTTACTCACTCGGAGTCCTCGCCTGCCCGGCTCGGGACGGTCCCGCTGCGGGGGCGCCCCGTCCTCTGCCCGGCGTACCGGCCGGTCCAGCTGCCCTTGCCGGGCTTCCTGACTGCGTGTTCCGTACCCTTGGCATCCTGGTGTTGTCTCTTCGCAAGATCAACGTCCACAAGACACGTTTTTGGGCAGATTTAGGGTAAAAATGTGGTCAAAGGTATTTAAAAATGTCCGCTGTTTACGGTGGTGACCTGACCCGGCTGTTGTCTCGGAGACCTAACGGTTAAAATTTGAAAATGGCGCGGCAAGACCCCGTACCCGCACCAAACGACAGATAATTTATGGTGATAATTATAAATATGAGCCTCAATGAGTGTGTTATGGCTTTCAAATACTTCTTCTACGATGCGTATTGACGACTAGAAATGCTTGCATACACGCATCCAAGCTTTACTTTACCGCTTGTATGTAAAAGAAAGGTGGTTATGGGGTCTTGGGACGTTACCGAAACCGGTGTAGGCGCGCCACTGGCGGTTATGGGAGGTACTGCAGGTACGAAACCCTGCTCTGCTCTGGCATTATATTGAACCTTGAACGGGGACATCAAGGATTTTTGTACACTTGAATGGTTATTCTAACTACTTGATAGGAGTAAAAACTGCGGATTCTTACTTTATACAATATACAACAGCAGGATGTGTCAACATCTTTTTCAACCTCCTCGATTACAGCAAGCGGAAAAGTGAAAACAGGAGACCTGTAAATAATTCTATGTTGTCATTGACAGGACAAACATTTTGCCATAAGTATGATGTTACCAAGGACTATTCCACTTAGAAATTTCAGAAGGGGTTGTCTCACGACTGTTGTGTAACATTTCTTTTCAATGTTGACTGAAACACACAATTGTTTCATGGAAATTTTAATAGACAAAATGAAACACATGTCCTTGTATACATACTCAGCTCTTATCATAAAAGTGTGTGACATATATATCACCTGGCTGTGGCCAATGTCATTTCTAAGCTTTACCTGTTAAGATCAGAGCTAACAAAGAAATACTTGAGACTCTTACCGTACACAAAATATCAGGGACCAATACTATGGAGCAAGAAATAACAATTGTTCCTAAGAGTATACAATGTGTTTGTACAAGCTACAAACTAAAACTTGACTACACTATTGCCCACACCACAGCCTTGGGTATTTAGACAGTGTGATAGTTAAATTCTGATGAGTTCTTTCAACACATCTACTTGGAGACGAAGGACTTCAAGTCTTCCAGGAACTTGATGTATTGCCTGTGCTCGTGGGATGTGGACAAAGTCACCAGCTTTGCCGCAAAGTTGTTGTCCACTCCACGCTCTTCCAGCGTGGTCATCAACAGGTCATACAGGGTCTGAGGGGAAAACAGAAAGGGTCAGAAACTAGATAGAATTTTGAGGTTACATTTGCTTTTAGCAAACGCATAATGTTTACCTTTGCATATGGTCTGATCTGTTTATTCTTACTCAAACACATTCATATACACTAGTTACCATGGTAACAGTCTGGTTCAGGTCATTGACCTTTTTGGTTTGGAGAAGAAGAAGAGGAAACAGAGCAAAAGCAATTGTTTTCCTGTTTGTTTTGTAATAATCCTAGAATCGAATGTATTTACCACGTACATGTAGGTTGCAGGCAAATTGAAAGAAAGTTCAGCCCGAACAAATCATGTTTCTGCCGTTCTTTTACATGCCACAGATTGTAACCTTGCCAACACAAGAACGAGTTCTCACCCCGTCCATGTTGTCAGCTCCAGCGATGTAGCTGCTCTCCTGCCAATCCTCCTCCCCCTCGTGGAGAGTCACCTCGTCGATCTGGAACACATCCACCTCCTCCTCCCCCTCCGCTGTCCCCTCATCACCGGTGAAGGAACAGTTCAGACTCAGGCTGGTGCCTCCGGACTTCTTCAGCTCCACTGTGAACCTGGGTCTGGACACCATCTGGGAACAGGGTAACCACACATCCTTCTTACTCAGACCTCCCAATACTGTTTTTGTTACATTCATTCATTCCATCATTCTTTATTTCACGTATGAAAAAACACTACACATTAAAAGTGAATTAATTTGTGTTACCAGTAGTATTATAGTTGTCAAAATTTTCTCTGCAATTTGAAAAAAAGTTGTTCTGCAAATACCCAAACTACTGTTCCCATTGGCCCGAGGAAACCAACATTACCATTGATATTTCAAGCACCTGACAGTGTGAAAAATGGTTTAAGGTGATAACTGGAAAATTTCATACCTGTGGCTGTTCACCCTCCTCATCCATAGACTCATCATCCACAGACAGGTTGACATTAAAGTCAATAGTCACACTGAGAAGAGAGCAAAAATGTGTTGCTGTTAGCATTACTTCAGTGCAGTGCAACAGTGTTAAAACAAGCTAAGAGCTAAACTATCTGGTATGGTTTTTGTTAAATTCACAACTAACTTATCGGGGAATATTTGTACTTTTTTTGTATATCACTACATCAGCAACAAGATCAACTTCATATCACAACTCTTTTCTTTTGTATAAGTGAAGTACATGTACTTTGAACCTTATTTGGGCATGCCAGCATGAATTATAAATATAATCCCATATTTGGAGCCTGATTTTTGGGTTGATTTCTAACAGCTGACTCATCCTCTTCTCCAAGCAGATGTATTGAGGATTTTTTCCTATCAATTAGTTTACTAAATTATTTTGCCAAGGGGAAATCAGACTGTGCAACAATTATGAAATTCAACTAAAATAAAACTTACATTTCTCCATCAAAATTTCTGGTGAGTGTGACCTCTGTCCCTTTGGTGGAGATTTCGAAATCTTTCAGTTTGGGGGCTTCTTGCAAGTTGTCTTTCTCTGTCTCAATTTCCTTCGCAAGGAAGTTTGCAAGTTCTTTATCCCCTGTAACAGAAACCGTTTCATTAGTTACACATATGATAGACGAAGTTCTGAAATCTATATGAATTTTACAATAACTAAAAATGCAATATTAACAATATACAACAGAAATGTATGTAATTATAATGACAGCAAATTCACTGAGATGAATTGAAATTTCAGTACTAGCAAATGAAAATTTAAAAAAATATGACCAAAAGTTTATTACATATAACGCCAAGTGTAGAATTGATTTACAAACGTTGTATTTTACAATCACCCCACCCCCCACCCCCCTTGTGATGATGAAATTTGTAGAGATGGAATTTTTTTCACACGATTAGAAATAGTCATCTTTAGTACAGGAACAACACACACACCATGAGTATGTAGTCCGCAGCAACTGCAGGTCTTGTTGACGTCTGTGAGCTTGACCACTCCGCCGTTCAGGAGGCCAGTGTCCGGTCTCTTGCTGCAGAGGACCCACATGGACCGTGTGAATGACCGAGAGAAACATGCGGACCGCAGGCTGCGCCCTTCCACAGCTGAAAACGTCAAAAGCGACCTCGAAACGCCCGTCAGAGCTGTGAAACCCTGTCTGCTTTGTCCTAAAAGCTTCGCTGCGGCGGACGCCACCAGTCTAGAGCCGGAAAAAGCCATCTTATTGGAGAACTTCAGGGAAAACTGGAAGTTTCTGTGCTGAACACGTTTCTGGTTTTCAGTGTGACCTACGTTGACCTCGAAACAGCATTATGGGTAACTAACATTACAGCAGCACTCAGATATTTTACAAACACCGTGACCTTTCAAAATTTCGTACACAACACATTGTAAAAGACATATACTTACAAACCAAACCAAGTAGATGTAAAATTTTGACCAAATAATGATTAAAATTTAAAGTAGGTCAGAGGTCATTCTAGGACAAGGGAAAATGGCCGCCGTGCGAAACAGATAGCAGAAACTGTCACCCAATCTTTTGATTTCCTTCCTCTGCCTCGCTAGCCAGTGCTTTATTTGATGAGCGAGAGAAGCCATACCATTTTCTGCCAACTCACAACGACTAGAGAGCCATGGCGGAGTCGACGGACGATTTGTTAGAGCCATTTTTGCCTCCGGAAGAAAATGGAGATCTTCCCGAAGCGTCCAAGTCCTTCAAAACAAGATCACGAGACCCAACCCGAATCACAAACGTCGCTAGGTTGGTGCTCTTAGACTTGTACACATCGTATATGGTTTTGAGTGGTGCTAGGTATGAAATGATTACATAATGACTGTTTTGTGGTGGGCAGGGAAAAAGGTTTAAAAAAACTTCCCCCCCCCCATACCTTCGTCATAACCTCGTGACTGGGTATCAAAAATTATAATTCTGTTTGTCTTACGTTTTCATACGTGATTAATGCCATATTGTTCACTTATAGCGACACTATAGTATGTAGAAATATAACATTTTGATATGTATTTGTACGTACTGAAGATTATGTCTATGAGGACTTCGGGTGATGTAAACATGATGATTTGGCATTATATCTAGATGGACTACAATACTGTAAATTGTAATTGAAATATATCAATCATCCAATCATTGCCAGTGATTCAGATGATTTGGACCAATCAGAGGTGACAATGCATAGAGCAGCACCTGTCTCACCTGGACCAGCCTATGAGAAGAGCCATTTCAGGCAGCCAATCATAGTGAGTGATTCAGAAACTGAGACAGACCAATCAGAAAGCAGAACACAACTTCCAGGAGGTGGAGCAAAAGGCTGTGTGGTGTATGGAACTGTTGCTGTGCTGGTGTTTGTAAACCTGTTGAACTATATGGACCGGTTTACACTTGCAGGTGGGCTATAGTATGATATGAGCTGTAGGTATACGAGACTGTTGTGTGTTCTGAGACTGATGCAGACGTTGTCCAACTGAGCTGTTTCATGAATCCTGTTACGGACAAGGATTTTGGGGCCTGAAATTTGAGAGCTGCCTTACACTAAAAGGCATATAGCTCTTCCCATTTTTTTAGAAACTTTTGGAATTATTGAGACTAAGAAAGAACTGGACGTCATTTATGGACATGTTAATGTTGTGAATTGTGATACAGCACTGTAAAATAATAGTTGCAACAGTCTCATAAGACATACAGTTCCAACCTTATATAAGATTTTCCTTTTTTTCCTTTTCTCACATCTTTCTTCCCTCCCTCTGCTAGTGATGTGGATGTGTCCACCAGTGTTGCTGCTCCGGAGGGGGGGAACATTGGCACGACCCGGGCTTACATTGCAGTAGCTGTCATGGTGTATATTAACCTGCTAAACTACATGGACAGGTTCACGATAGCTGGTGAGTGGACAAACATTTCATGGGAGAAAAAGGTTTCAGAGGCAACAGCAATGGTGTTAAGGTGCTACAAGGTTCTCTGTGTCAATTTAGAGTGAAACTCACGTTTTGGTGCTTCCAAACAAAACTCCCCAAATACTGCATAAGCTAACATTATTCAGAGCAGATGTAACCTAACAATGCCAGTCTCTTTTCCTCCTTTCTGCTTTATAGAGGCCATGTTCTGTCATATTCATGCTTAACCATCTTTACTAACAAAAACATGAGTGATATTGTTCTCTGGCAATATCCTGATCCTTGTCGCTTTTACAGCTTTTGAAATTTTGGTATGAGAACTAATAGAAGTTATTAGTATTGAAACAGTATTTTTTATCTCAAAACTGCTACGTATGTTATTTTTACAGGAGTGTTAATAGACATCCAGTCCTTCTACTCCATCAGTAACAGTGATGCCGGGTTGCTGCAAACTTCCTTCATCCTGAGTTACATGGTGCTGGCACCCCTGTTTGGTTACCTAGGCGACAGGTACAACAGGAAGTTCCTGATGGCTGCTGGGATACTCTTCTGGTCAGGGATGACCTTGGCAGGCTCCTTCATACCCAAGGAGGTTAGAGAGTTTTTTTATCAAACCCTTCTCTTACATGTAAGTACTAGTATTACTTTAGTTCCTGATTTTTTGATGGTACTTCTATGTTCACAGTTTTTACGGTCACTTCAGTATCTCAAACTTATCATTACGGCTAACTGAAATCAATTACTGACTTTCCTTTTCCTCAACTTATAGTTCTGTGAACACCTCAAATTTCTCTGACCATGAAATTTTTCTACCGTGAACATAGAGTGAATTACAGTATTTAACTTGAGGTGTGGCTTTCCCCACTGGACCTCATGCTTTATGCTAGGTACTCATTTTCAGGTGAGGGAAGAAATTGGTGTAAAGTACCTTTCCCAAGGGCACAACATTGGATCCTGCAAAACAACCCATACCACCAACCTGTTTTTTTTTCATCTAAAACACCAGAATGTTTTTATATTGAGATGCTGATGAATAGGTACAATCATATGTTAATGATTGGTGTTCATGCTGCCTTTCCCTAGCATTTCTGGCTGTTCCTGATGATGAGAGCCATGGTGGGGATCGGGGAAGCCAGTTACTCCACCATTGCTCCTACCATCATCGCTGACATGTTCACCAAGGACAGACGCACCACCATGTTAACCTTCTTCTACTTCGCTACACCTGTAGGCAGGTAAGGGTTAAACATGTGCCCATGTTTACTGCAGCAGTAGTCTAGTGGATACAGTACTTACTTTTCTGACACCTGACTAAGTCATACCAAAGACTTAAAAAAAGGTAGATACTGCTTCCTTGATTAGCACATATAAGAAAGAGTATGATAGCCCATAGCCGAATACAAGCTGCTACCAGTGGACTAGGCCCTTGCTGTAGTAGCACTATCTGTACTTGAACAACTGTGTGGTCCAAGGACTAATGAAATGGAGGGAGATGGGTGCTGCCCAGTATACCATATGGTGTGGAAAGGATGAAGGACAGTAACAATTTTCAACATAGACTGCAAAAGTTTGTTATCCATTCTTACTAATCTTAAATGTTTCCAGCATTACACAGTATCATACAACTGTACCAAGAGTGTTTGACATGATGAAAACGCTGACATTTTTTCCCTGTTGTAGCGGACTAGGTTTCATCGTGGGGACGAACGTAGCAAAGCTGCTGGGTGCGTGGCAGTGGGCGCTGCGTGTGACGCCCGTGCTGGGCGTGGTGGCCGTGGTCCTGATTCTGCTGTTCGTACCCAACCCGCCGCGGGGTGAGGCGGATGGAGGAAACACTCGGCTCACCAACACCAGCTTTCTCACCGACCTCAAACAACTCTGCAGGAAGTCAGTCAACTTGTCATATAAAACTTACTTGCCTTTCAATTATATCTATAATGATCAACAAATCTGAATATAATATTTACATCAATACTGTGTACATGTATCTCATACTGTGTGTAATTAGCCCCCGAGGGGCAGTTATACCACCTATGTAGATACAGAGACAGATATATGTACAGATGATTTATGTGACTGTGATAAAAGAAGTACATTTTTGCTGTTGTATCGTGTGGTTTGTAGTACACTTAAATATCATATTTAACATTATGCATTGATTTTGTTTTTCCCCGTTTCCAGTGGCAGTTTTATGTTGGACACAGCTGGTTTCACGTGTGTGTCATTTGTGACCGGAGCTCTCGCGCTGTGGGCCCCCTCCTTCATCGCTTATGCCATGACAGATGGACACAAGCCAACTGACAAGATGTAAGTCATAAATGTATAGTCTTTACAACACGCCTGGTGCCTGTACGATGGACTGGTACAATGTACAAAAAATAGCTGAACTTCAAAACCTTATCTTGAATTGGTTCTTCCAAGTCAAATGGAGACAGTGTTTGGTGTGTGTTTATGACTTGGTCACTACTCTGAGTCCTAAGTGTGACTCCTCAAGTCAGAAGAATTACTTCTTTATCCATATAGTAGTAATACTAGCAAGAAAATGGTGTATATGAAGTTCTTCTGTAGACCATGAGAGAACTAAAGTCTTTTGTGTAAACAGGCAAGCCGACATAGCCCTCATATTCGGAGGGATCACCTGTGCTGCTGGCGTGATCGGCACGGTGGCCGGGGCGGAGTGGGGCAAGCGGTGGAAGAAGAGCGACCCCACGGCCGATCCGCTCGTATGTGCCATCGGCATGCTGGGATGTACGCCATTCCTGTACTTCGCACTGCTGCTATCAAGGACCAACATCATTGTAACATATGTGAGTAACCTACGTATGAAAGAAGTTCAACTGTAATTCATAGTTTTATCTAATAGTACTAGATACTGTTGACCTTAAGTCAGATCATATTGTATGTGACACTGGAAGATGTTGATAATACATGTGTACAATCTTTTTCTTAGATTTTTAAGATACATGTAATTGGACATTTCAGACTGATATACAAGGCTTAGTTTGAGATTATTTCTGCTTTTTTTCTACTCAGGTCTTAGTGTTATTGGGTGAGATCTTCTTGTGTCTTAATTGGACACTGGTAGCAGATATTGTCCTGGTAAGTTGTTTATTTGGCATAGCTTTAATATTATAATAATAATCACCAGTAGCATTAGTCAATGTGATACACCTTGAACCATGAATGTTTTTAGTAACTGCTTTACACGTACTAAACTAAATATCCCTTGTTTTTAGTTGTCACAATAGGTAACATTTGATAAAATGACACAAAGAAACTATATAATTTGGTTAAGTAAGTATACATAATCATGACCATGATGTTTAATTTTTTTTGTTCTAGTATGTAGTCATTCCAACAAGAAGGTCGACAGCAGAAGCAGTACAGATAGTGATCTGTCACCTATTAGGGGACGCTGGCAGTCCCTACCTCATCGGAATTGTAAGTGTGCTCTTACAAAAATTCTAAACATATTCCTAAGTGTTAACATACATGTAGTTGATGTTGTCTTATGTAAACTGTACAATGTAGAATTAGTAGGTTCTTTATGGCATCTATTCAACAAATGATTTGTATACTTATGGTACTTACATTTTGAAAAAAAGCCAAAGTTAGATACAGACTTTTTTTTCTGGTAGGTATCGGATGCATTAGCCAGTGGGCATGACAACTACATCATCAAGTACCAGAGCCTGAAGAATGCCCTGTTCATCAACACGTTTGTGTGCGTGATCGGAGGGGCGTTTTTCCTGGGGTGTGCTTTCTTCATCGTGGGTGACAGGGCCAGAGCAGACAGGATAACCAGGGGTAGGTCTCTGTTCTCACGTTTGATACACAATATTTGTAGGGAACAGAAATAAGTGCTGAGTTATTAGTGTGATTATTTGGAAGAAATGATTTGTATTAGATGTATGTGGCATGTGTTTTCTGTGTGTGTGCTGTGTGTCTTTGTGAGAATGTGTGTGAGACAAGGTGATGGTGACTGTGTACATGTACATGTATGACTATGTAATTCCATGTCTGTGTGTGTGTGTGCATGTGTGCGTATGGTGAATGGAGGTGGGGCTCAGAATAGCTTATACAGTGGCATCAATCTTGAAACTCTGGAAAAGAATGGATTGGGTGGGAGGTGTTGAGTTTTAAAAACCTTTAATTAGAGTAAATGGTCTATGTATTAATGAAAATAACCAGTAACTGACAATAAGATGTTCTGTAGGTGATGGCTTCTCCCACCTGGCAGGTGAAAATGACCCTGTGGTCAGACCTGAAGATGAGGATGATCCTAACTTCACGTCTGTTTCTCTCCATAATCTCCTGCCAGGTGAGATCCACCACACCAGCTCCCAGACTCTCCAACCACTCACTCATTCTTCTTTTTCCTCTGGTGCGCATTTGTACACTTGTGTTGTTGTGCAAGCTGTGTTCCTTTTTATTATAGGAAAAGCCTTGTGTTCAAAATTTCTTTTACAGATTTTTACTTTACTCCAAGAGAATGAAGTATTGTTTTTGGTTTGTATTTGTGTCTGTGAGTTTCTGTTACTTCCTATACACATGTATATACTGTGTGACTGGATTAGTGCTGCATTGAGCATTACATGTAACGTGGTGAAGTCTCCCATCTCTGATTGCCTTTAAATCTTTTTCAAAACCCTCTTTTCTTTCTCCTTCAGGCACAACAACTTTGCCATTTTGCACAAATCAGAAAGCCTGACTGCATGCAATTTTACTAACTAAGCTAGTCCTTAATGAAGTGAAGATACTAAATACATTCAGTTGATTTCACTGTATGATTTTTAGATAAATGCACTGGGTATTTTTGGGCATACTTGGGTTTTATGATGCAGTGCTTCCATAAGGCTGGTGTTTGGTTGTCTTTCAATGTCCCTTTTTTGCAGTGGATGCCTTCAACTGTGTCTATGGATGCCCAGATGTAACATTGCTTGACATCTTTGAATGCCATCATTAAGTCACACATAATTATAATGCCTATGTCTAGCTCCTATTTCTTCCCCTAAGTATGGTCTGGTTTTCAGTTCTCAACAGGGATCATACTAAAGGACTGCAGCTGCCATCACTTCCTCACCCAAAACCTGTCTCAAAATGTTTCATACTTCCGTGTAGGAAATCATTTTAGTTGTGGATTATCACTACAAAAGAACAGCCCTTACAGATGGATTGCTTGAAATGTATGTTGCCTGTCTGATCCAAGTTAGCTTCATAAGTGGATTTTTTTTCTTTTTCATATAGGAGAGCAAACAGTACAGAATGAGGATGACAACAGCCTCTTCCCACCAGTAAATGATCCAGGAAGACCCATTGATGTTGTGATTTGATAGCTTGTTTTGTTGATGTTGTTTATTGTCTATTTGGTAAACACTACTAAAAGGAATGTATATATTTTTCTCCGCTTATGGTCCTGCTTCTGCCTGGAATTGAAACACCAATGATGGCATGCGGGCAATTGCTGCTACGAAATCAACCAATGGGCTTCTGCTGCTGATCATCCAATCATCTAATCAACCAATCATCTTCATTAATTTGTCGACCATCAATTAATTATACCTATAATCCAAATTTGTTGACTTTGAATCAATGACTGTACTAAATCACACAAACTGTCAATCAATCACCATGTGACATGTGACTGACCAATCACAGGAGAGGAGTCAGAGCATAGTGACTTGAGTAACAACTTAATTTTGCCAGTTGATCCTCTTGATAGTTATCTCCATCAGACAGAGACTTTAATGGATGAAAACACTAGGACTTGAATGTAATATAAAAATTGTATATTTTACATTGCATGATGTAAATAATTTTGTATTGTGTGGATACTACCTAGTCCTCATTTTCTTATAACTTCTTTTGCCATATATCCTTGAGCAGTTCCTTTTGATTCTTATATAAGGATAAACAAGCTTTAGGCATTTCTTTCTTCATTATTTTCTCCATTGTCTTTGTGGCATAAACAGACATTCAGTTAATAAACAAAGCTGACAGTGCAGTTTATTGATCTGGTATTTCTTAACAGAGTGGATTTATATATCTGGTTACTGGTACATCATGAAAAAGAGAGATGTAACTAACTACATGTACTAGAATTTCCATAGCACAATGTATATGTATTGTACCATTGTGTAATAAAGAAAATAGCTTTGTTGTACAAAGAATAGTGACAGTAAATGCTATTTTCCTAGAAATCAGAATTTTCTATTGTACACAAGACTCAGTATAAGTTGTACAAAAACGTTATATTACATACATTTGAAATTATAAATCATGACCCAAATGAAGTTTTGGAGATGCCTTCAAGACATATTCGGTGGTTGATTGTAAATAGATTTACTAAATGGAGAAAAGTGATATACGACCTACCTTATTGAGTCATTAAAGAGTTCTGAACAGCAAAATGTTGTTGCTAATGAATCAGATAAGATGAAAAAAATAAACAGTTCACCCAGCCAGTTAAGTATCCCTTGTGTGAAAAAGGCACTAACTAAAAATTGGCAGAATTTGCTCAACAGTTTCCACCCAAAAATACATACATACAATATTGAAATGTTACATTTAGTTCTGTTAGCAAGTAGAACAAGTACAACAAGCATGTATTTGCTGCCAAGGGAGCATGTACTTATTCACTATAATCCACTGTATTGTTAACAGTGTATAAAAGTGTAGAAATAGACAAGAAATATTTTCTACAATTGAAAAGGCACCATCTGCACTCACGAATTTGTACAATACTTAGTGCAATATGTACATGATGATACTATTCTGGCTAGCTGTCAACTTTCTGGTCACAATAAAAATGGCTCAGAATGACCAACGACTGTTGTGCTATTTCTCATTGATACATGTACAGTCAAACCTATCCAGGCGACCACCTCTTCAACCCGACCTCCAGGTCGCAATCGCGAATGCGACCTGCCCAGTGCGACCACCTGGCCAACACGACCGCAACTTGTTACTAGTAACTAAAATGTCACTTTGAAGATCAATACATGTACATGTATTTCTAAATTTTGTCTAAGACATATTGAACCCTTATGACTCGCTACCGTTTTGTGTAAGGCTGGGTGTTGACTCAAGTTCCGGAATCCTTGGTGGCTTTCCTTGGTGCTGAAACAGATATCCCAATGTTTGAGTCTCGTGTTCAGAACAGGGCAAAGTCACGATTGCAGATTGTAGGTACGTGTATAGATTCACTACTTTGGGCACGCAAAACAACCTAACAGCTACAAAAGGATGTGATACCCATAGCTAATACTATTGGTTTCTTACATACTGAAACACGAGCGTTTGAACCAAGGCCTTTTGGTTACGGCCACAAGTCCATGGCTGAGGACATTTGGGAGTTGTACTTTCATATGTTCACCGTAACACTTGCCGAGTGCCAAGGCATAAGCTTGTTTGTCGGCATCTTCCCACGTCTCGGAGCGCCTTTGCTCTTCTTGCATCGCGTTACTGCTGAGAAGTCTCACGTCAAAACGTAACAATCCGATCTCCTGATCGTCTTCGTCGTGCAGGATAGCTTCAAACATGCGGTAGTTGTGTTCAAGCTTCCAGGGAACGACTACACTGGCAGAATAAGGTAGGGGGTGACTGTCATCAGCGTCGTGGACTTGGAAGTGTATGTCTGTGACACACCCGTCGTCTATGTCCACATCTGGAAAGTAGAAGACCTGTCGGAAGTGCCTGGCAAAGTTGGAGCTGATCTTTTCGCTGGATTCTTCGCACCAAACTTTGTCAGTCTTCTCTCTGGTTCTTGCTTCAATACATGTATTCACAGCAAGGCCGTTGGCCAGGACTGTGTTTCGGCAGGTACGTGAAAGATGACGTCCAGCAGGGAAACAGATAACATCCATTGACTGGCGTCGTCTTCTTCTTGGCCTATTGACCGGAAACCGAGATCCACAATGGCGTCTATCTCTTCACCATGAAGAGCAGCTATCTGTTCATACGCGTCTCCGAGTTCGCGGCGATATGACGTCTGTTCTGACGCGGTATCCTCTTTAACAAAGACTGACAACATGTCCGAAACATCGCAAGATTCAGCTTGTCTTGCACATGTTTTCGAGTTCACAGCCATAGCATCCATATTGGATACCATGGCTTTGGTTGGCGACAGGACGTGGAAGACATGCGGGACTCTAGACGGGGGTTCGCCGCGGTTGACAGGTAGAGGATGCGCCTCAATGTGGTCTGCGGCTTCCTGCAGTGCTTTGAGTATGGTGATAGCTGCAAAGGGAGCGAGCTCGATCCGCGGTACCTCAGAGGCAACTAGTACCAGGATGCTGTCGTCCCCAACAACGTAATGTGGAAACCCTGCTTCTGTGGGCTCTAATATCAGGTCGTACAGAAGGTCTTCTTCACTTTCGGGTTTCTTGAGGGGATGTTCTTCGATAAGGTGCACAGGAGTCGGATGAGGCTGCTCGTTTTGTAGAGACATGACGGTCAGTCCTGGCTCCATTTTGACGATTCCTAGACGAGAGAGAGTCGGTACGAGGTTGGCCAGTTTTCTCGTGGAAACGGCAGCAAACGCCGCGCCATGGACATCCATCCCACCGCCAAGTCCTGATGGTGTCACGAACGGATGGGTTTCAGTAAACCTGAAGGAGTGACCATTTATGGAGAACAGATGGCGCTGCTTTCTTGTGGGCGTTGATATGACGGCAACACGGCGGGGTCCCTGGAGAGTGAGACCTCGTCACCTACCTCTACAGACCGGATGGGCAGTAGGGTACCGTTCGCCATCAGTACCTTCGTGTCTCCCGTGAAACAGCTCCCTCCACCGCCGTCGCCAGTGTGACGGTACCCGTGGCCTGGTTGCCCTTTTGCGGTGAACTCGAAAGAGTTTTCTTCCTTCATGCTCGACGATCCACCGTCCGGACTGTATGACGGCATGCTTTCTGACTTCAGGATCCCCTTTGCTGCGTCGCCTTGAATATCCTTCCATGTGATCGTCGCTGGGTTCATCCAGGCGGTGTAGCCGGTCCATTTTCCCGCTCCTACCTCAGGGGGGATCATCAGCTCCTTGCTGCTCAGCTGTTTGATGACGCCGTCTATCTCTGCATTGCTGGCACCTAGCAGGTGCAGTTTGACCCAGTGATGGTACAACTCCCACGCCGCGTCTGTCCACATACCTTCTAAAGCCTCCGTTCTCTTTGCCATGATCCATGCATCAGACGTCAGTGCCGCTTTGTACTGAGCTTTCGCCGAGGACTTGGTTTTTATCGAATTGTACTGCGCTTTAGCGAAAGTATCACGGAAGACTTTAGCGTAGAAGGCCATGCAGTGCGTTTTCAGCTCGGAGTTTTTACTCTTCACGGCGTTGTTGATGTCGTCCTTTTTCAGTTGCTTTCTCAGATCCTTTGTCAGGTTGTACATGCCCTGACACAAGACTGCGACGGAAAAATCAGCCCACCAGTTCTTGTCTAGTTTAGTGAGCGAGGTGTCTTCCTCGTATGGGGCCGCCTTGTAGTTCGGAAAGAAGATTTTTCGGAAGGTGTCTCCCTTTTTTCCGAACGCCTTTGTGTGGCGGCCCGGTGTAGACCCTTTGAGTTTGCTGACGAGGGCTGCGCGGGCCGGTTTACCCGAGTTATTCCCGCCCGGTGTTGGCAGCAGGCCGAACAACTGGATGGATAGAAAAGGGGATGTTGATAGCGTTAACCAAAAGTCAACGAGTCCACAACCACGCTCTATCGTCAATGATCCACTCAGTTTAACTTATCATCTAAAAAACTTTTTTTTCGTTGGACGTGCAACCCAGCAGCACAGAGATCGTCAAAACTACATGTAATTAGAAACCAAAACAACATCCGATGACTTCTTCCCAAGCCTTAAAGCTACCTGCCGTTTAAACTCCATGACCGGTTCAAACACGGCGAATGAGAAACGGAGGATCCGCTGCAGTACCGTAAAAGCCACTGGGTCCATAATCGAACTTGTTCTTTGTTCTGTCGTTTTATTGACCCACCCACATACCAACTATACATTGCTATCGCGACTTCGCAGACTTGTTGGGTGGCGTTATTATTATTATCATTTTTTTTTGGTGAGCGACGCCAGTTCTTCCGCGGAGGGACGATTTTTCCGCGGAATAACTTGCGTCGCTCACCGAAAAAAAATAACGCCGCCTCCAAACAAGTCTGCGAAGGAGGTTAACCATGGAGGCAGAAGGGAGAACAGCACATGCTAACTACCAGTTCATTTCCGTTACAGAGCGCTCGAGCACACATACCTTCTCCACGACGGGGTCCTGTATGGTGGCCATCTGCAATTAAAGTTTAACAGAGGTTAGCAACGAAACGCAGCTTATAAGTATGAGTGCACATTGTCACAGTACATGTCATTATTTCTGTCATTAACATTAAATGCGGGACTGACTTGTCTAGTCTAGATCTTCATGTGTGGCATCCCAATGAGAAGATGTTGATGGTTTTAGAAGTTGAACATTAGCCTGGGTACCATCCTTGTTAGTTTACGTCCGCTCCCACAGTCGCTACCGACCAAACATGGTTTGTTAACCGGTGACAATCGATCCGTAAATTCCACAAAGTAAACTCAGTGTGGCTTAAATGTAGTTGAAATATTTTGTTGATTTAGGCCATTGAGTAACTTCAAAATTGGTGAGAAGAAAGATTGCCAGCTTCATATATAGCTGTTTACTATGTACAACAACGCCCGTTTGAATAAAAAAATGTTTCAGCTTACCTTGGCACGAAAGACGAGCCCAAATCTCTTGATAGTCGGAGACAACTAGATCTAAATATGTTTGTCATGCGCGTCAGAATTATAAAAAAAAAGGTTGGGTGTGGCTTTAATTTGACACTTGCAAGACCTACAATGACGTAATCATCACGAGATTCTTCCACATATAGAAGTAAAAACTTCTTCCTTCAGTCGGAATCAGTCCATACAGGAAATGGATGATAATTCTAAAGATATCCACGACAAATAGAATTCAGAACAAAATTGTTTCTAGATAGAAAATCTTTCACCAAAGACACATCAGTTTGAACGAAACTGCGTTTAGTTCGTGAAAGAGTTGTCTATTTCAACACCTGAGCTTGCAAATTACTGGAGATTGATTGATTGCGTAATAATATCCAATCAGTTAATTGCTTCAGTAATTTCTTTTCTTTTCATAAGGAGATGTATTGAGTAGGGTTTGACCTAAGGTACAAAATTACCCGGACCCCAAGGATAGCAGATAATCTTTATTTGTTGTTCACTATGGTGACACATATGCATCCACTTTCCTTTTAGTACACAGTTTGTCTTCTCTTACCAAGGCTTATAGGTGGTAGAACGATAGAAAAAAAAGTAAATACACAAAGCATACATGCATATATGCATCACTTTGTTTATACCAGTGGAATCGCATAGAATATAACTTAAAACGTGCAAAATTATGGTTGACTCTTCTTTTCCCACAGACTCTAGTCAGTGTAATTACTTGAACAGGGCGTATCGAGAGAGCAGACAAGTCTGTGGCTATTGTTACCGTTTTCCCAAGGCATTTTGTCTTACCTCCCGTGAGAATGTTTATCACCAGTTTGACGATGAAAATTGCCAGTTCATCATCTGAAAATTATTGAGAAGACGGTTAAAAGGCATCGGAACCAGTCCAGGGTGTCTCACTTGGACGGCGCAATCTTAGCGAGTGCAGCGCGACGTTTCGACTCAGAAAGTGCGAGGTAAGATATGCACCTATTTGTATACTTTATTCGATCTTTATGTCTTAAACAAAGTGTTATCAGTACTAGATATAACGCATGTTTCCTTATCCGGAAGTCTGACTCTCAGAGTTTGTTGACCAAAAATGTATTTTAAAAACCGGTTGTAGAACCTATCAAGCATGAATTCCTATTTCTCTTAGTAATACGTAACCTTCTTTACCTTGGAACTTTAGTTGTTTAACGCCCTACCATAGATAACGGACACATGAAGGAACTACAAATTTGTAAATCATACATAACCTTCTTTACTTCGGAAATTTAGTGACGAAATTTCGTTGTTTAACGGCCTACCATAGATGATGAACACATGAAGGAACTACATGTACAAATTTGTAAATCATACATTTGACAGGGTAAGCGTTACTTACGCCTAACTAATGCTGCTATCGTGAAAAAAATAAAATCGGCCTTTGCTTCAGTTTACTATTGCTTTGGTGACGACGTAACGAAACTATTGTTGGCGATATTGGAATTATGTATACTAGCAGTTATTTTAACAGAAGCTTTCACAATTCACGTTGGACAAAAAATGGGTTGCTTAGCAGCCTCATACACTGTATACACAGTAAAACCTACTTTAAACTGATTGTAACCCTTTCTTATTCCAGAATTGTAATTGCGAGGATATTCAAGACACTGAAGAGGGTCAGGTATCAACATGGGAAACTCGGCGGGTGCGAAGAGCAGTCCTATCTACCTTGACGGAGGTGATGAACCGGCACTGAGACCGACACCGACACGGCCAGCAAAGGTACAGGACGGAAAAACCAAGGCCAAGAAGAAGCCGGGCAAGAATGAGAAGGCCAAGCCTACAGTATGTACACTTTATTCAGAAATAGTGACTCAAAAAGCTCAGAAAAGTCATAAAGATTAGAAAGTCTGGCATCGATGTTTATCGGTTGCCATGGCAATAGCCAGTTCAAAATGGCAATAGTCACATTATGAATGCTCTAGTTAATCTCTAAGCAGATTCGGTGGGGCACGAGGACTTTATGTTGGCCGCCTGTCTCCATTTGCCGCCTGAATCCAACGTTCATGCACCTCACTAGACTATTTTCTGTAACCCTCAGAAGTTGACAGATCTTTTTTTGCCTCTAAAACTGCTATCCATATATCTTACCTCCTCCCGCTAAATTGTATGTATGCATAGATAATATTGGCTAAGAAGTAAAGTAGTTTTTGTACACATTACAAGATATTGTGATTTATATTATATTTCCTACATATCTTTCACCGATAGTCAGTTTAACCTTTCTTGCGTATTTTCCGTGTTAAAATTGTACTTTTCATCGTTTGTAATTTCTTCAATTTAGATCACGCAGAAAGTAATCACGTACAGTAGTACATGTGACCCAGCATCAGTGACTGTACCACTATGTTTAAAGTTGCGCCTTTGAGGAAATCTCTAGATTTCTTGAGAGATGCCAGCGTACACACCTGACATTTTTCGACTTAACTTTGTCGAGTTAAGTTGTCAATCCCAGGTTAACTGTTAGTCCATCCACGCGCTAAGCAGTTTTTGCCTGTTCTACTTGTTCTATTGTCTGACTGCAAAAGAAAGCTGAAGACTTGTGTTTTAAATACGTGACGGCTACCCGAAATAATAGCATATTTCAAATCTGCAAATACCACATGATGTTTATTGTATATTTCAGGCTGAACGGCCCATAGTATACAGAGTATTACAGACACATGATACAAACACATCTTAAAGCAAAGTGTGCACAGATAAATGTGACTGAGCTGTCGACGTCCCGCCGCAAGGAGGCCCTACAGTAATGTCCCCAGAACAGGCTAGAGGATATAAACCTCCGAACGGAGTAACAGTAGTTTGAATTCAATGATATGTTGATGAATGCAATGATTTGTTGATATGTAATTGAAAGTGCCCTTTTTTTATGACCTTTCCATTCCCTTCTTTACAGACTGTGGACAACATGGTCAACTTGCTGAACAAAAGACACAAAGTCTACAATATAAAAGTTCTGTCCAGCCACAGCGCTGACAAGAATCCGCCTTCCGCACCGGACACCGTCGCCCTGAAGAAAACCGCGGACGGGATGCAGCAGCTGCAGGTAGGCCAGAAAACCATCAACACATGGAGCTGGGACAAATCCACCAACAAGCTGATGTGGAGCGAAGGAGATCATGCCGGCCACATCGCCTTCCCACACGAAGAGAGCGCGCGAGGGTACGGGACCATAAGCCTCGGGCAGACATCCTACTCCGTGATGGCAACCCTGAGCCCAGTCACCTACAGGTGTACTCTCTCAAGCAACGCTGGGGCTTACGTTAAACAAGAAGGGTCGGCGCTCAAGTTAATCTGGGATGAGTCAAGCAGCGAGTGGAAAAACGCTTCGTGGGATGATGATGTCCTAAGCTTTTCCTACGGCTTAGAGGAACAGTTCTTCATCGGACAGAAGACCTACAAAGTCGACATCAACTTCGAGGATCTGCAGACCAACGTGACGTACAACCCCGCGGAAGGAGACTTCTCGTTCGTCCTCACCCCTGAGTTCAAGGCGGTGTTTCAACACGAGAACGACACGGTGCCTGTTCCTGACGACCCCCGAGATGACAACAAACACGTCTTCCCGTACCTGCTTCAGTTCACCTTCAACGCTGAAGCGTCCCAGTTTACCGGCGCCATGCTGACCAAAGCGCTAGATGCAGCCACGGGAGAGGTGTACGCTGTCAAGGCGTATGTCCAGGAAGCTGAGGCACTCGCTCTTAGCGCGCCACCACCTCTTAATGGCCAGGAACTTCTAAACATGTCCCAATTCAAGAAGGATGACGACGGCAGGTGGTATGACGCTATCCAGCAGAAGTCTATGAATGATTTCTACACAATCCTACAGTACTACATGGATGCAGACCTCCGGAAGAAGTACATGGGGATGAACAATGCCCCTGACCTGGACCCAACAATCAAGCAAATAGCCGACACAGATGGTAATCCCTCCGACGAGCAGCGGGAAAATGGGGACGACGGGAATGCAAAGGACTGGTACAAGACCCTGAGTGTTGCCTATCTTGCTCAGGCACTTCCTACCGTATGGACGAATGACTCCTACGCTGCAAAACTCAACACGATTCGAGCGCAAAAGTGGCTGAAAACAGAGACATCAACGTCAAGTGTTTTCAATGCCCAGTCTCCGGAGCTGTACAAGACCCACTGGCTGCGGGACATGCCGAGGATGGGAGACTTTTGGTTGACCAGATGCAGAATAACGCCGAGTACGCATCTTACATCGAACAGGACAAAAACTCTTGGATAGAAGAGGTCGAATCCACCGTTGAAGACCCCACTAACCAAGCCTCTATGCTGTCTATCATAGAAAGCCTGACAACATTAGGAAAAGAAGGGAAGTACTGGGCCTATTGGCTGTTCCGTGACATCACCCAGCCATCTGCCCTCTCGATGCTCCAGATGCTCTCTGTTGGAGGAGCCGCCTCTCCGGACGGGTCCGCGTTCTCCAGGCAGATCCAGCAAAACTGCGCCATTCTCGGGATCCTGGACGAAAGCGCCACGTTTCAGGAACAGTACATCAGGATCATCCAGATCTTCCAGCTGACGAACATCCTCCCTCAGCTCATCGACTTCAGCGGCGACATGACCAACTACCAGTACGCAGTAGAGGACATCCTGAAAGGCTTTGAGGAGCAGTACATCAACAGCCCAGATCCACAGATGCAAGAGGCTGCGAAGGAAATCCAAGAGAAACTGAACCAGAAAAACCTGGAAGACCTCCTGTCAGAGCTGCAAAAGATGGCTTCACAATTCACAGGAGACTACAACTTCGTAAAGCTCATGACCTATGTCGATAACGTGTACGCAAAAGGTACCTTGTACCTGTTGGGTAAACTGGTTGCAAGTGCTGCAGTTTGTGGAGCCATCATGATGTTCTACGTCGGTGTCAAGAATTGGAAGGCCCTGGATGGAGCAAAGCGAGCACAGGTCGTCAACGATGGCGTCCTTTTGTTCACTGATGTGGCAGCAGGGCTAGTCAAACGGGGCACAGCGCTGTACGAGATATGGGGGACGGAAGCAATGACGTACAAGAACGTGGCAAAGATCACATTCGAAGGCGAATGCCAGGAGTCCATCGAACGCGCATCGAACGGCTTCAGTAAGTGGATATTAAAGAAGAAAGGAGAAGAAGCGGAAGTGGGAGTTGAGGCGACTACTGAAGAGGCTGTTGTGGCGGGCGAAGAGGACATGTCTTTACTGGAGACTCTGCTAGGTAGTAACCTGGACGAATTCATGGCCACTCGCTTTGGTGGGGCTGTAGCTGTTTTAGGTCTCGTCTTTGGCGCTATATCTCTCAGCAAGTCGAAGACGGATCTTGAGAAAGCAGCAAACTCCATGGGAGTCCTGGCGTCGACCCTGCAGATCTGTGCGACATTTGGATCCTGGCTGATCCCCGAGGGAGCTATGGTCGCGGGAGTCGAATGTGCGGCGATCTGCTCCTGCCTAGGTGCTTTGGCTGTGGTGGCAGCTTTAGTTGGTGTGGTTCTTCTCATCATCGAGCTCAAGAAGAAAACACCAGACCCCCTCAAGGACTTCGCCACGAACCAGGCCAACGACGCCGGCCTGTACATGCCACACGGAGCAGACATAGACAGTTTCCAAAGCTACCAGCCAAAGGGCCAACTGGAGAAGGAGGGAATCAGCCTTCAGATGAACGGATCGTCCCAGCAGTACCTAAAGTTCAACACAGACGGAACACTCAGCCTCTCCCCGGGAACAAACGGTCCAGACACCGTCTTCTACATGACTACCGACTCGTACGGCAGAGCCAAGTTCATCGCCAACTTACCCAACGCCGACAACACGGCCATCGTGTCCAAGTTTCTCACAGTTGATGGAAACGGTCAGTTGTCCGGGGCAGACCAGCTAGGCGGGAACTCGGCCAACCAGCAGCTGTGGGTCGCCGAGTGTCAAGGATCCGTCCAGCGGACCGACGGGCATCTGACATCCGCCTCCTTCAAGTTCTACAGCTTTTCCATGTTCAAGGCGAAGAACAAGAAGTACTACCTGGGAGGATCCGGCGGCGCTCCCGAAGTGTCTGAGTCCGCCCAGCAGCCGTGGACGGTGTCCATGGACTCCACCAAGCCTGTTGGTCTCAGAATGGACGACATCACTCTCTTCACCTTCCAGATGGACCAGAAGTTCACGCCGACCCTGCTGAACCCCGGCAGCGACCCCAAGAAGTGGAGCATCAGGCCAGACCTGCCGAGCTTCATGCAGCTGGACCAGGCAACCGGCGCCGTGTCGCAGAAGTCGGGAGTCACCCCGGAGATCACCGCTTCCAACACCTACACGCTGACGGCGCAGAACGACCTCGGCTCAACCTCCACCAAGTTCGTCTTTAAAGTCGGAGAGTATCCCGACGGTGCATAAACCGAACGACCACGGAAAATGATACGTGCCTGATATTCTGTAAGGAAAGCAGAATTTGTGACAAGTTTGGTAAAACATTTAGCTGGGCTAGGGATTCTGCGGAACATTAGGTGTAAGACGTTCATAGATATCTATATGTGTGTCATTGTGGTTATTTAATCGTGGGCTAGGTATAGTGCATTGCTAGTTTAGGTGAGTCTTGTTATATTAGTTAATAACGCAATTTGAATCCTTATTGTATACTTAACGCAATTTGAATACTTATTGTATATTATATATGCCATCAAAGCTGTAAGCTTTTAGAGTTGAGGCTGGTTTAAGGTTAACACTATTTACATTTACATCATAACGACTACGTGACATGTTGAGAAACTGTACAAGTTTGGCCCCTCTATTTCCAGTTCAGGCACGACACTCATTTCGGTAACATTACAATTGTACAAGCCCATTGGGGCTCAGCATCATTCGGAAAGGTGTTGAGTGTGACGTGAAGCCTGAATATATACAAACTGCTCTCAGGAATATAGTAACCGTATTATCCGATCTAAACGTGTTGTGTGCAGTACTAATAAAATCTTGAATGTTGAAATTTCCCGTGTTAATTTTTTTCATACCATGAGCTTTTAGTTATTTACAATACTAGTATACGCAAGCAATTCAAAGTGGAATGTGTTGAATTAGCCTAGAACAGGAGACATACTAAGATCTTACGTAAAATAGACCACCTGCACAGCCAATCATACTTCTAACAAAAGTAGTAATCCGGACATACAATATTCTCAAGGAAAGGCGCCGACAAGCACAATAGCAGGGATTACCCAACCTTTTCTTTTCTTATCTAATTATCCATTTTGAAGGACAACAAAATCCTAGACTTAAGAAGTGATACTGTTAGTCCATCCGGTAATACGCGATTATTTAGGTGCAACGTACAGTAACATAGATGGCAACAGTAGCCAAGGTAAGACCGTTTCAGTAGCTAGTTTAAAACGCGTTTTGGGGAAGATTCTATATGGCAGATTATATACCCGAGTGTGTTTATAACAGGATGTGTATGTGTATGTGTATGTGTATGTGTATGTGTATGTGTATGTGTATGTGTATGTGTATGTGTATGTGTATGTGTATGTGTATGTGCGTGTGCGTGTGCGTGTATATGATTTACACAGCGTGTTGTGTAGGGCAACATCAAGTGCGTAGGAAATCGCAGTTAGTGAAAAATCTCTGTAAGTGGATTTACCAGAAAAAGAATCAGCCATTGCCTATGATTTCCTTTCCTTTTCTTTATTCTGAACCAAATCAAACATTGCCCTTGTAGCTGTAGTGCATTAATTCACAATACAGTTGCAATAATATTTTTGTTAAATGATATGCATATGGTATGATCTAACATTAAATGCTACTTGTTTTTCTGAATGGCACACGGCACGCTTCCGTGCATTTTTGCCCTCCTGTGTCCTGACGTAATCTACAAAGAACGAAAGGTCGACATCGTGATCACCCAAACAGCTTTACTTCAACCGGAGCTTACTTCAACAATACACTCCTACTCCAGTTTCCAGTCAAGTCTTGTAATATCTTTTCGCGCCATCAGTGGGTTTCTACGGCCAATTGACCATTGTCCGGAGTGGATTAGCAACAACGGGAGTGACCGGCAACAATGTCCAGCCGAAGACAGAGGCGAAGGGAGAGAATAAGAGGTGAGTAAGGGACAATCTCAAACTTCAATTTTCCTCCAGATGGTGTTCTGTGAACCAAATACGGGCAGCAGTATACATAACAGTCTTACTTATACGAAGCAAGTAGCATATCGTCAACAGCGTGTCGTCAATATGGGAAATATGTCAAGCAGTTGTATAAGAAATAAAATACATATTGTTTATAGCAGTTCTGTATGAGTTTGTGACAATCCCTGCACGTCTACGCCAGACGACTCTACGATATCATTTCTGTGGAAACGATATACCCAATGGAAATTTAAAGAGAAACACCCAGGCTAGTCAAAACACTTCAACAATATTGTTTGACAAAGAGACAGGTGGCGCTCTCCCAGCCTGCGCTCAGACATATTTATGGAACAGAATTCCAACGTTGTATAATTTGTGAAACTTGGACCACCGTGTGTGTATCGTCATTTTTTTTACAATGATCAAACTTTTGCCTGATTCCGGCGATGTCAGACTGTACAATGTGCAGGATTTAGGTAAGCAGGGATGGCGTTACGGCTTACATCTGTGTTTGGTACGGACGGATGCTTGGTTTGAGTATTTCCTTTATCGGCGTGTCCGTCAAGGTTTGCCATTGTGAGTTGTAGTCACGCCGCCTGAGCGAACAGTTGCCTTTTCAGACTAGCATTGTGTGTGTTTGTGTGTGGTGTTTCTAATGACTGATTCTAATGGTGGCTACAAAGTGTTCTTTACGAATCCTGAGCTTACATGCGTTATTATAAACTCGGGTGGGAAAGAAATTTTTTTCTATAAAAGTTATGTATATGATTGTTGGTATAGAAGAGAAATCGTCCTATTAGGCCAGAAACGTACAGGTCGTTTGTATGCTGTATTCCTTATCGTTAATATGTGCAGAAATCGGTTCACCATTAATTCCTCCTTTAGTCCAACGTGTGAATGAGTTCTCCATGTGTATGTGTATAGGTGAATAGTGAGTCTTACGTTTTCACCCTGCAACAATCTTGGTAGAAATTAATGTATCATGCGGCCAAGATTTTCTTGTTCCTAAATATCCAAGAGACCGTAAAGGAATGTAGTCGTTACGCTGTAACTGTACCGTGACATTTGGTGAAATCAAGCTTGTAAGTGAAATAGACCACCTGTGTCGCTGAGCATGATCTTCTACTTGGCAAAACGCTTATAGGAAACAATATTGAAAACCTGCTCATGTGATATTTACCAGATTTGAGCATGCATTGCAGAAAGAAAATTGGAAAGAGAAATACAAAGGAACGCCTTAAGTTCTCCACCGGAATATTTGCTAGGCATTTAGCTGATTATCTAATATTTGTGGCTTTCGAAAAAAAAAATCATTGTCACCCTCCCCACGCACGATCGGTCCCGGTTCAACACCCAGTTTGCATGGTAACATTGTTTTCAGACGTATTGTTGGGTTGCTTTAGCTTTTTTTTATTTATTCCAACATGCAAATATACAATACATTTACAATACAATTGCTTTAGGTTGCACTGCGGACAGGGTTATGTATCTTTTCAGTCAACTACACACTTTCCGACGAGCTTCTTTGGACTTCAAAACTTGTGTTAAGTTAAAGTAAAACCTTGCACAAATATATAACGTTACATGCCACTGACAAAAGAATATTGGTGAGTGCCTGTCTACATGTGTTTATTTCATATTTGTTCACCAGTGTTTATTTGAGTTTATCACAACGTGAAAAGGAAGGCAAAACAGGTGCATACGCACCTTTACATGTTGTTCATCTATGGCTGCTATTTGTTATAGTGCTTTTTTTACAACGCAAAACCTAACTGCAAGACGCACTCACGAACAATAGGCTTCTTTATGGCTTCTTACTAGTACTGTTCTCTTGTCGTTGTAGCCGCAACAGGTGGTTGTTGACATTTGCAGCAACGACACCCAGTGGTGAATATTAGAACTGCAAAATATGTTTGTTTGTTTCGCTTTTTTTGCATTAATCATCTGTTGTCATTTTCATTTTCTCTCCTCACAGCAAAGCTAAGTGCTGCGTGTAAATCCGCAGCTAGCTCGTCCGATGGAGACCAACCGAAAACCACGGGAACGAGATCGGGCAGGCGGTCCGTCCTTGGTCACGTGAAGATGTCCGGTCAGAGGTCAAACATTCCAGAGATGTTCAAAGTGAAGGTTTTGGTGCTCGGGCCCTGCGAGGTAAGAACGCGCCTAAATACACTTTCTACAATCACACGGAGTATTCTGAGTTACCACAAGAGTTTTCTGTCCTTACTCTTACCATTGCGTCGGATTTTGGCAAGCAGAGTTCTTGATTAACGCGGGGAACGCTATCGAAATTTTCGTCAGCTCTCTGGTTGGGGAGGGGGGCGGCGTTGTCGCCATGGAGATAGGACGCCTTCGTCGAAATAAAATAACTGATAGAGTATAAATCTGATGTTTTAGCACTGTGTACAGAGTAAATTTGGTTCAGATGGAAGTATTGTAGCCGTTTTTAAAAGCTATTGACGTTTTGCCAGCCCTGGCGACTCGGTATTGTAAATTATGTATGATATACTGAGTCGCCACGGCTAATGTTTTGCATCTATTTTACCATGTAGAGCGGGAAGACGGTTTTATCCAACTTCCTAGCTGATGCTACAGAGATGAGCGGGGACTACATGCCCACACAGGGGGTCAGGTGAGTTCACACACTACAGTTGGTGCTCTGATAGCCTGGTTTAATGTTTGAGCTAGATATTTACACACACCCTATAACACCTTGTTTCTCGTTCCATCACTTCCGTGGCTAAAACCTTTTGAAAGGAAACATAAAATCTTTGAAAAAAACAAAATGAAACTTTTTCTCTCTCTTTTTTTAATAGGATTTTGGAGTTTGAAAACAACGGACTAAACGTTGGAGGGAGGACTGTGAATGCTGAGGTGGAGCTGTGGGACTGCAGTGGAGATCACAAGTAAGACTATCATTCCTCAATTCTGTCAGAAATTTGTACTTTGTGATGAGATCTGTATAAAATCTAGCCTGGGTGCCATCCAATTTGTTTGTCATTCGTGTATGGGAGACCCGGTATACAAATAGGATAGCACCCAGGCTATACAAAATCTGGTTAAAATCCATATACTGGCTGTAGCATTGACTAGTCTACCAACAGAAGATGGTTGTGGACCTTCCTGTTTTTTAAAAGCATTTTTTACCATCAGGTTTGAGCAGTGCTGGCCAGCCATCCAACAGGAGACCAACGGGGTTCTCTTGGTATTCAACCCTGATCAGCCCAACCATGACAAGGAGCTGGAAACATGGTACACACTGCACGTTGTTTAGATTATTAGAATGAAAATTACACTGCAACATTTTCTTCAGCAGGTTGGGTTAACTAAAATTAAGGCAATTTTGATGGTCTCAAATGTAGCTTGATTAGATCATGCTTAAAGTGACTGATCGGCACTCTAGATTTGTCACCAATACGTTGGGAACTTAAAACAAGTTGTTTCAAATTTAACTGAATTTTACAGTACATTGTCCTCTTGAGTTAAATGATATCCATGTAATTTTTTTATTGTTTCAGGTACAGCCACTTTGTTCAACAACAGGGTTTGAAAGATTCGCAGTGCCTGGCCTTTGCTCACCACAAGCCCTCTACATCAGATAAAGCCAGGGGCCACCTGTGTAAGTACATTAAAAAACTGTAATACGTAGTCCAACATCTATATTACCGGTAAGATTACTTAAAGCCACAAATATTGGTACCCTGTTCTGGTATGCAACCCTGTTTGTTTATTTATTTCAAAATACAACAGTACATAACACTGACTTTCAGGCAGCAGGGTTGATATTCGTAATGTTTGTACTTTTTTTTTTTCATTCTATTCCATTGTCTGTGCTAATGGTTTTTTTTTTCCTTTCTTCTATTCTTCCAGCCTCCCTTCTGAGCAAAGTGACAGTTGTCCACAGCAATATAGACGAGGACGGGGACTCTGTCAGACAAGAGTTCTCCAACTTCCTGACCAACATTCTGTCCACCATGTCTGACAACAGAGACAAGGAGGAGCTCAGCATCATAAGCTGATCATGTAGTCATCACGTTTCACTTCTTATACTAAGTTATAGGGCAAATCAACTTAAGAAGCAAGTGCTCTGTTTTTGTGGATATACATATGTGATAAGAATAGTAAAGTCTCAAGAGGTTATCTTTATCTATGAATTTTTGTTTCATAACTTTTCATCTTTACAGTTAGGCTCCAGCAAATCATCTGGATCTTTTTTTTTCAGTTGGAAATTATGTGTGACTCAGAAAGTAATTTATAGTAGATTTATATCTGTAGTCATAGACCTTTTTCATCAGTTTCTGTCTCTATAAAAGTATAATGGAGAACTATAACTGACTAAATTTCACTATATTGATTGTTATGGTATTCAATAAAGTTAAGGCGAATGATGTATTCAACACAATAAAGAGGGTGACTTCATGAAGATGTCTTGAAAATTTAATTCCATTACTTACAACAGGAAGGATGTTCACTACAATATATATGAAGTTAGAACTATTTACCCTTACTAGTACATGTCCTTTTTCAGTGCATGAATGTGAAAACAGTAATTATCTACATTTTCAATACAAAGGCATACATACATGTACTAAAATAATACATTCTTCTTCTTCTTCATTATCTTTCTGTCAGTATGAAGATGAAATCTACCTGGTATGTCTACTTATATTTTGCAAACCACTGACTGTCGTATTTGCTGATGTATTTACTGCATCCCATCATGTTCTTCTTCACTACATCTTCGAAAGTGAACTCATTCTGGTTGTTCTCCTCCCTCCACTTTTCCTCCTTCTCTTCCTCATCCAACATTTCCTGACTCACAGGTTTGGCTTCAAAGGGCAACTTCTGTGCGATCTCCCTCAACATGGGATACACCACCTCAAAGTCCATCTTCCCACCCATTTCCACAACGATACGGTCTTGTTTAATCGGTGTGACATAGTGATCGATCGCGCCCTTACCGCCACCCATGCGGTGGCCCTGTCCCTTTTTCGTGATGGGTTTGTAGGGCGCCTCGATGCGCCATTTTGCCCACATGGTTTTGGTGTCCATGCGACGGTTGATGGTGAGACGGATCATCTCAAAGTGCCCCCACCTCATAAGGCCTGGAGAGAGAGCCTAGATGGAGAAACAAGATTTGTGGTGTTTTTATTTGCTATTACAAGTTACATGTACGTGTACACAACAATCCATATACATTGTAGTTGAACAATAGAGACAATATCCATTTCATAAAAGTCATGCGTAGCTACAGTTATAATCTACAAAATGGGATATTTTATTATCTAGATGTATAGCATGCTATGTTGAGCATTTGCCACTGAAAGTTTGATAAAGTTATTATCTAAAATACATTCTGAATGTACATGTACTGCAACAATGCCATACCTTTATCCCATACTGTTTGCCTATTAAAACACTTTGTTCAGGATCTGCTGGTCCCCTCAGCATCTTTATACCCCTGGGTTCTCTCACATGCTTCACCAAGTCTGGAACTCTCTGGTAGAACTTCAGCTTAGACTGCTCAGGAATTTCAACATCTATAGTGGAGAAAACATCATTTAAAATGATCATTCTATAGTCATCAATTATGAAAAAAATTCAGGTCTTTTAAAAATTTAATACACCAGAAGCATTGGGTAGGGTGCTTGTTAAATGTATTACGGATTGTGTGTTAGCTGGTGTGTTACAAAGGGCGGTTATACTGGCTATACAGATACAATGTTAACTCATATTCATAACTGTACAAAATTGACCAACTTCTAATAGTATACCATTACATTTACTAGTACCTCATAATACTTTTTTCTCTGTATGACTTAGCAGGAAAAAATGGATTTATACCTCATAGATGTAAGTCATGCATAAGTCTTACTCTGTGTAGTTAGTACTGACTATAATTTGTTAATACAAGATACTAAATATTGTAGTAGTACTCACGGTCATAGTTCTTGGGAATCGGGAAGTTCTTCAGTCCGGCAGAAAGTACACAGACTGGCGGACAGACTTGCCTTCCTGTAAAGTTCAATTGTATATGGCAATACATTAACACGGGACATGTGGTTTGAACTTAATATCCAAAGCCTTCGAAAATCATAGCACACGTAACGTTACAGCTACAGTAAAGGTACAGTCATCAGTACAACGTGTACTGGAACGTGACATAGAATAGAGCGTTGAATACACCTTGATACCTTGATACCGTCTACAGTCGAGTAAGGCTTCTTCCCGCCTGTTGTGGACTGGTCTTAGACGCCTTCTTCGTACTTCAGGTGCTCCCAGTGTCGATCCAATCTCGTTTTAAACTGGTTGACTGTTTCACTGGATACTACAGTCGGCGGCAGCGAATTCCAGTCTTTGATGACCCTCACACTGAATACATGCTGTCTACTCCTTGACTTGGCCAATGGTACCTTCAACTTGAAGTTGTGGCCTCTTGTTGTACCCCCTGCTAACTCAAAGAAGTTGTCTGCTTGTACCCTTTCCTGCCCAGTCAGGAACTTGAACACCTGAATCATGTCTCCCCTTCTTCTTCTATATCCCAGGGACGGTAGTCTAAGCCTCTTTAGTCTCTCACTGTAGGGGAGCTCCCTGAGCCCAGACACTAGTTTTGTAGCTCTTCTCTGCACCGCCTCCACTTTCTGCTGGTCGAGGGAGTAGTGGGGTCCCCAGATTACATTCCCATATTCCAGGTGGGGGCGTACCATGGTCTTGAAGAGTGTAGGGACTGTGTCTTTGTCCAAGTTGTAGAAGGTCCTCTTAATCAAACCCAAGACTTGGTTTCCTTTGTTTGCCGCTTTTGCTGTATGTGAATGGAATGAGAGCTGGTTGTCTATTGTTACGCCAAGGTCTTTCTCCTCCACCGTTTCTTCAATGGTTTGTCCTCCCAGACTGTAGCTGTTTTTCTGGTTGGTTCTTCCTAAGTGGAGCACTTTGCACTTAGTAACGTTAAAAAGTAACTGCCATGCTTGTGACCATTCCCCCACTGTGTTTAGGTCCTGCTGCAGTGCATCTTCTCCGGTCTTGTCATGGACAGTACACCATTCCACAGAATTACCAGGCTTCTTCTGGTAGTAAGATATGGTGCAAAACTGTCGTTTTCAACACTCTGGGGTGAGATGCTGATCTCCTAATTTTTTGTAAAGGTCGTAACACCCATGCCCCCCTCCCCACACTTCTCCAACCTTCACCATCTCAATAATCTCATATCGGATTTTTTAAGGGTAAAATACAAAACACTCACCTGTTATATACTGAGGTCGAATCGAAGACAACTTAGATGTCTTGTGACCAATAAGGTTTCCGACTCTGTGCAACAAAAGAGACATCTTGTCGGCTTCAAAAACGTCACGCACGTTTCACCCCAAATTTGGGCGGGACTACTACAAATGAGGAAGTCTTTTGAATATTGTTATGAATGTAAAAATTATCCAAACCTGAGACAGTTTTTTATGTATCAAGAAAGATATATGATTTGTTATAAATAATAGATATGTCCACATAAGTTATGAAAATCACAATTGTGATACATTTGTAGTTAAAGAAGACACATGGGAATATCCACTCCCCTATTCTCTATTGGTTTAATCCAAGATGGCTGCGCCGGAGGAGTTGCAACTTTTCCGCAAGCTCGGAATCGGAGCAAAGTTCGACACAAAACGCTTCAGGAAAGACGCCGAACGTTCTCAGGTAACACAGATACTTGTGGTGTTATGTCTGCTTTATCCATTATTAGAGTTTTGACTTTGCAAGGTTTTTCAGGAGAGAAATCTATTCGTTTCATGTTAGAGTGGGGAGGGGGGCAAACACGCCTGCACATGCCCAAACGCACACATGCACTACTAGTATACGCGTATGTCAAATTGTGTGCATGAATTCTCATCGTTATGTGAGTGGAAGTGTCTGAGATGGAATAAGCTAGTTGTGCCTATAGGATTTCACTAATTTTTGAAGAGAGTAAAACTAAAAGAACATGCAAGTAACAATAACGTTACATAATGTAAGAAATAAAAATATGATTATGAGTAGATAAATAAAAATGAATGAAATATATGTGTTTTTTGTTACTTTCCTACCAGATGATTAGAGCTCAAGTCACACCAACAGTAACCAAAGAAGAGGCAGACAAAGCTCTGGATTTCTTTGGTAATTTATCAAAGCAGAAACCCCAAAAAACAACCACAGAGAATACCAGAGAAGATGAGACCAGCACAGAGACATCAAGGAGAGAGAAGAGTACAGAAGCATTGAAGAGTGATAGCTATGGAGTACAATCAAGAAAAGGGAAGAAGAGAAAACAGACAAGAGAAGAAACAGACGGTGATAACAGTGGTAAAACTAAAGCTTTATCAGCTGTACTTATAATGACAAGTTTTGCATTTCAAGAAGATGTCCGAAAGCTAATGTTTGGAATTATCCCGGGTAAAAAAATATTTCCCTCTTTTTATTCACACAGATGATAGTGAAGACAGCTTACAGTTGCTTGGTGACATTAAAGCCTCAAAGAAAAAGAAGAAGAGGAAAAAGAAAGACCTTACAGTGGACAAGGTGGAGCAGATCAAACAAGAAAAGGTAACACCAGATGTGTACTCTCTGTCTTATACTGCAGTGCTCGAAATATGCACTAGTATGTAACTTAGGTAGGTAAAGTTGGAGTTGTTTCCTGATCTCCAGTTCGATCAATGCTTCATCAAATCTACTTTAGGGCAGCCAGTAATGTAGATTTACAATATATTTTGAGTCCTGTACTGATTTAAAGCCATGCACATCCTTCACTACCAGGCATATCTTCCTTAGAATCTTCACAGATAGCAAAATACAAGTTTCTTTCTTACTAACTGTCCTCCAGCTGAGTGAGTTTCGACACAAGAAGCGGATCCACGTGCAGGGCGATGACGTCCCGCCCCCTGTCAGTAGTTTCCAGGAACTGCAGGGAGTGTACGGTATCCACCCACAGATCCTCAACAACCTACAGGGTCTGGGGTATGACCAGCCTACACCTATCCAGATGCAGGCTATCCCACTTATGTTACAGGTAAGCATGGGAACAGTACATGTGGTGTCATCTTGTTTTTGTACATCTGGCGCACAGTGGATAGTGGGGAGGGCATGAGTCAGGGACAGGCTACCCAAAGCCCGAACGCATGCACGTAAACTCTCTGCCGCAGCCTTACAAGTGTGGCTCCCAGGGTAGATACAGGCTATCCTGTTCATGTTACAGATAAGTATCTGAGTTGATTCATCATGCTGTTTTAGTACTCCACACATTGGTGTAATAGGATGATAGAAATTACTAGAGTGGACATGAATTTATGGTAGATGTGTCCTTCACAGAGGAGAGAGATCCTGGCCTGTGCACCGACGGGTTCGGGTAAGACGGCAGCCTTCATCTTACCCATCCTGCACCACCTGCGGGAGCCGCGCCGGCAGGGCTTCAGGGCCGTGGTCGTGTCTCCAACCAGGGAGCTCGCAAAACAGGTGGGCAGTACTGGAAAGTTTGTTTGTGGCACTCAGCCACTTAGGTTTTGTGGCAGTCTAAGAATTAAAATCAAGAGTTTGAACCATTTTTTGAGTCATGGAAACAATGATAGCTACTGTAGTCACTCAATGGAATTATACACAACTTTTGTGGTGTTAAGAAAGTAACACAAAAACTGAAAAATTGAAAGGACAAATTTGTCACTTCTTGTTCTTGCACAGACGTTTACGTGGTTCCAGAGACTGGGGGAGGGGCGGGGCTTCAGGACCTACTACATAGAGAAACCTGCACAGGCTGCCAAGAAGTTTGGACCCAACTCTGCAAAGAAGTTTGGTAAGGAGTGAATTACATGTACTATGATGTAGTATAGCACTGTGGATGGGTGATTGTACTATAACTTAAAGTATAAGATATGAGCTGAAAGATGTGCCATAACAGTTTGAACCTAGATAATTATGCTGCTTGAACCATAATTTCATCAGCTGTGCTATTGTACAAATTGTATGTTGTGTTCAGTTCGTTACACCATGTTTTAGAAACTTTTCGTTTTGGTTTTCATTTGTTTAGACATTTTGGTGACAACTCCAAACAGACTGGTGTACATGCTGAAGCAAGATCCTCCCATCATATCATTACACAGGTAACTTCACAAAATTTCAAAGGTGAGTTTTGTCTGTGTTGTAAGCAACCAATCAGCTTTGCCATATGGATGAAATCAAACCCTGCTTGTGCGCGGTAAGAATGGTTGCATTAGTTGTTGCATTTCAAAGCCAGCATCCCAGTATACGTGAGGGCCTCATGCATGCGTCAAAGCTCTGCACGTAAAAGAATGCATACTAGTATTTAGAAGAGTAGGAGTAGCTAACCCAGTGTGTTTGGCTAAAAACATAGCTGTAGCGAAGCCACATTGCGCTGCTGCTGCTGCTAGTATTAGCTACTTGAAGAAGCGTAATTGTTGACTTGACCTAGCGTGGAGTGGCTGGTAGTGGACGAGTCAGACAAACTGTTTGAGGAGGGAAAGCAGGGTTTCCGAGATCAGCTGGGGTTCATCTACAAGGCCTGCGACTCCTCCCACGTGCGCAGGGCCATGTTCAGTGCAACGTTCGCGTACGACGTGGAGCAGTGGTGCAAGTTAAACCTGGACAACGTGGTGACAGTCAACATCGGAGCAAGGTAAAGGAATCTTTATACAATGCTGCCCCCTATTGGTTATCCACAATACTGCAGGTAGTCTTGTAACTTAGATGTTGTACATTGTATGATTGTAAAATGTTGGAAGTTACTATTTGGCTACATAGTGCTTTTGATATATTGCTGATGAATTTTAATTCTATCTTTTGCAGGAACACAGCTGTGGATACAGTTGAACAACAGCTGCTATTTGTTGGCTCAGAATCTGGCAAATTACTGGCCATGAGAGAGCTTGTCAGAAAGGTAGGTATTGTAGTTTACAAAAAACATGTCATTTACCTAGTCTATACATGTATGTTCCTTGTTTTTGTGGTAACCCTCCGCCTCACCCCAAACATTCCCACAAACCTTAAAATAAATTAGAGAATCTTACATTGAAATGATAACATGTTCCTCATGATCAGTCAATGATAGTATAAGAAGAGGATAAAACATGGAACTACATGACCATTGTATAACTCCCCTGTGCTGCCCCTCACACTGAATTAAACAGTGTTTACCACATGTATATTACAGGGACTGACTCCTCCAGTGCTGATCTTTGTTCAGTCCAAAGAGCGAGCCAAGGAGCTGTTCCACGAGCTGATCTATGACGGTATCAATGTGGACGTGATCCATGCAGACAGGACTCAGACACAGGTACACACATGGTGATGGTAGTGGGGGTGGGGCATAGGAAAAAAAAATGTTGTGTTTCCTGTTTCGGTCCTGAATAAATTAGGGATTATCTTATTTTTTCCTTTCTTTATTTTATTAGACTTTGGCAATCTCTATTGATCCAAACTTTAGAAGTGATTTTTGGGTCTTTTACTCCTCCAGCATAGCAGTATCTCCCATCTAATTGCATTAGGTATTCATCAATGTCAATGCCCATTTGAGATATGCAGTCTGTACTTTTAGAGTGCACCAGTAATTTCATTCAGACATAAGTAAACTATCCTTTTGCAGAGTGGACTTAGTGTATGATCTGGGTGAGCAACCCAACACAGTTATGATGATCCTCTCTCTTCAGACAACTTACACTGTAGCGTATACACTAAGTGACTTTGCATAGTCACATGTACACGTACTTGGCAATATCGTTCACTATATCCTTGGGACTCTTAAAATTTCTTAGAGACTATCATACTTTTTATCAGCATACAGGTCCATGGTGAGTCGTGCGTGTTACAGATAGTGTCTAAGTAATGCCCCTCTGGCTTTTATCCTGGGAGTGCTCTTGAGCTCACAACTACATATCTCTCTTTCAGGCTCTGCTATAACATTGTGCTTGATCTGGGTACCATTCCTAGATATATATCTGATTCAATGTTGCATTTTCAAAAGTTGGTCCATTTCGTCCAGTTCCCTTTAAAGTAAAGTTAGTACATAAGCTCTCAGATTCAATCTAAATGTCTAGTATACATAAGAAAAGTTTGGGTCCACTCAGAAGAGATATCGCTTCTGTGCACAAATGTCTTTTACCGATAACGTGGTAAATGGAAGCCTTAGGGATACAACTATATAATGCACTTCTGTCATGAAAGAGAAGGTAATATCAAGGGACCTGAGATGCCCACATGGCTTGGTTATGTACATTCAACAGTTAAATAGGGTAGTAAAGAATGCATTGAAGTACAGTTATCGCAGTGATGAATGTTGACATTGAAAAATATACGAAGAAAACTCATAATTTTGTTTGGCAATGTGTTCTGGTGTAGAAGAGCCAAGAGGGTTATCAAGTGATACACATTTTGATATCTTTGTGTTGACCTGTCACCACAAACTCATCATACATTTTCCCCTGCAAACATTTGTTTTGTGTTCCATTGTTTCAAGTATTGTTTCAACCTTCAACCGTATGTTAACTCAAACTCTTGGTTTTTACTGTGCCAGACAATTTATGTGTGGCAAACTTTAGAAACATACAGTACCTTTTAACATTGAACAAAATATGCATATCATTAAATACAGAGTAGAAGAAGATTGAAAGCTTATGCATATTCTGAATTCAAATTGCTGGAACTCAGGTTTTGAAATATAATGGAGTCATATGGGCTTATGCAAATGTACTGTCACGACTTGTCTGCTAAACTTAGCCTTATCAGATTATAACTGTCAGTGTCATTGCCTTGAGCATGATATCTTCTCGAAATTTGCATTTTACAATGTAGCTGTAAAGCAATTGTAGATACAAAAGTCATTTCCTGAATAATATAATTACATTCGAGTAAGCCATAGATTGAAAAATGTGTAGCTGGATTTTGCAAAATTGTCTCAAAAATCTCATAATAGCCTCGTCAACTTTACTACTCTCTATGGTGTATTAAGTGGGAAAATGTTATGAGTACTGACTACATGGGGTGGTGCAATATAACATACAGAAATCCCTGACAGTGTCTGTAGTAGACAGATAACTGTGTTACATTATCTCTCAACATTTCCACACTCTCAAGGTTGGTCTATGCAGCCTACTGTCAAACTTTTGATGTTGTTATCTTCCAAACGTGTTGGTGTATCCTACAGTGTAATATGGCCTTAGATGACCTGAAGTCAGTGGTGAGAAACACTCTCAATCAGATACACACAGCAGACAGAAAAGGGCACAAGTGTCATTTGTGATCGTCAGATATACAGTACCAGTAATGCATGGACTTCAGGGTGCTTATGCTAGCAGGAAAAAAAAATTGCTAAATCTGAAATAAGACTGTGCTGTAAAAGTCTATGTGGAAAAAGAATTGAATGTAGTAGATAGAAGAAACAAACAGAAAGGAATATCCAGTTTCAATTGTCATATAAAATATACCATTAACTTTCTTGTATACATGTCATGTAATATTTTACCCTGTAACAGTACCAAAATATTAATGCTACCTTCATGCACAGTTGATTTCCTGACAAAACTGGGAAAACTGAACTGTTCTTTGTATATGAAGCACACAAGTTCTTTCATACTACATGATTGTATATTTTATGTGATCATTATGCTCCATCTATTTCTACATCCAGAGAGATAACACAGTGAAGTGTTTCCGGACTGGGAAGATCTGGGTTCTGATCTGTACTGAGTTGATGGGGCGAGGCATCGACTTCAAAGGTGTCAACCTGGTCATCAACTATGACTTCCCTACCAGTGCTGTCAGCTACATTCACAGAATAGGTGTGTATACTAGATGTTATCAGAAGTGCATGACATTGTATGTTTAAAGTTGCAGGTGTTTCAGGTAGATTTCAGATAATTTTCATTTACTGAAATCTTAAATTCAGAGCCATTGTGACAAAGCTTGAACTCCACTTGGACCCTAGCATGTCTAGATGACGAGAAATCAAAACCTGCTGCAGTACCTAGGAAAGCTGCCAGGGGGCCCAAAATCTTATTATTTCTAGGTCTCATGAAGACCTATTCACCTACCAAGTTTCATGACATTGTCCATCTAAAGCTTCTTGAGTTATTGTGCTAAGCCACATACACACACACACACAAACAAATGCTACTGAAAACATAACCAGTGAAGGTAACAACTTGTACAAAATAAGATGTAACCCAAGTGTTTTCCTCCTCTAACAGGCCGAACTGGCCGAGCAGGAAGACCTGGCAAAGCCCTGACCTTCTTCACCGAGGACGACCTTGTCCATCTGAGAGGGTGAGTGGTTCCATCAGACTTCCTGAAAGAAGGCTCAGCTTTCATCTATAAGTTACATGACATCTAGAATCTGCCTCTAAATACTGCCCAAGCCTTGATGGATCCCACTGTCATGAATGTGCAGACATATCACAAAGGGCAAGAACCTTTCCTAGAACTAAAACTTCAAAAGTAAAGTTTACATGTTGATATATCTCTTACCGGATTTTCAATACATCTTATATATGCGACTGTGCCGTACACAAGGCTAAGGTATTGCTGCGGGATAGCTCTGCATGGAAGAATGATGTTCTCATTGCATTATACAATGTCAAAATCTACAGGAGTTGGAAAGGATGTTCTTCACACAAGTCATGTACATGGGACTTCCATGTACAATATGTTGGTGCTACACATTGTTTATGAACATCACAGATTATAATGATGCCTTAAGGCAAAAAGAGGCATCAGATGAAGAATGATATGTCATAAAGGCCTGCAGTGTTATGAGTTCATTAATATAATTAATGACTTCCTGTAGCTGGTGTGATGCGGCTCATAATAACAGTGCTTTGGGTTATACTGTACTGGGAATATTGAATGACTGTGACCATTTTCATCATTCGTCATGAAATACGTGGGGTAATCATCATTTGGGAAAATTAAGATTTGGCCCACATATCCAGTGTTTGTACAAGGTTCAGAAATTGTCACACTGTTTAATTCGTTCTTCCTTTAGCATGTACAAAAAGTCTAAAATATAAAATGTCCAAAAATTAGGTTTTTAAAAGTTTCTGTGTTTGGGAAATGCACACATTGATGGAATGCCTGAACTCTGTAACTTTATTATTCTACATATGAAACACAGTGTTATATCTTCTGAAAGTCATCCTAATCTTGCTCTTACTGCCAGCAGCACTTTTAGTGTATATTGTCTCTGTGCAGAAGAGTACTGTATATGACATGTGTAATATTGACAATATGTTGCAGCCCCTAATAGGGGGCTGCAGAATGGTTAGATATAGTGATGTGCAGGAGCAGGATTGGGTTGAAAGATGAGCCCACATGTAGAAGTGATATATGCTCATACTCCAATCCATCTGTCATCACTCTGGCCATTTGTCTAAAGTTGTTATCATCTCATAGGTGATATATCTCATCTCATCTCATAGGTATATCATGTCAGTCAAAACAAAACATCAGGGGATAAAAAGTGGAAGGGTGCAGTACATCACAATGTACATGTATTTAATTTATATCATGGAAATTGTATGCACAGTTACTGTATATCAAAGAAAACGGGGGAAATAGAGGCTAACATGAACATGAACCCTTTCTTAGTTCTTTCATCATCTACTGAAACATTACTGGGTGTAAGTTTGAAGACTGAGCCATAAGTCACCAGATATCAGTGGATATAACAGAATATGTATGGTTGTATGGGAAGTTTTCTCTGCCCAATATTTCAACCCCATGGTTGACTGTGTTTTGTTTTCCCACAGCATAGCAAATGTGATGAGAGAGGCAGGCTGTGAAGTGCCAGAATACATGCTGGAACTCAAGAAAGCAAAAAGGTATAACAGTGAAATACCTGTCTTCAGGAAAAATGGAATGTCAAACTTGGTATTTCTTTAATGTTTTCCAGACAGAGCATGTCCACAAACCCCCCTAAATTCTTTGTACCTCCAATGCTAGCACAAAATTTACTTTGTCACATTTTAAGAAAGAAGAAAAAGTTAAGAGCACTATGTTATATAAAATTATGTACACAGTATTGCATGATTGTACATTTTCTACATGATTACACAATGTTCACAATGTTCTGTCACATGCTTTTAGATAGTGCCTAATGTGCTATATGGTATGACATTACATAACTTGCATGTTTTGTTTCCATTGCTAACCCCCTGCTGTGTAAAACATTGGTAATTTTTATAGCAGCAGCTGACATCAAAGCTCTGTAATGGTACAGAATTAATGTTTTGGAAAAGTTTCTGATGCCAGAGGCCCAGAAGAAAGTTTTACACATTCAATATGCAACAGACTGCAAATCACCTGAAGTGACATATGTACCATTACATTTAATATACATTTTATTCATTTTTGCCAGAGGGAATCTTTTCATCATAATCTTCTGTGTATTTTAGGCTACTTCATCTTAAGGATCATTTGCAGATAATTGATAACTAAGGCTTTTAAAATGCTTGAGGGCTGTTTTGAAATTTGTGTTCTTCTATAAGTTGATTTGCAATTCTAATGAACATACTTCTTTCATGTGTAATAGGGTTGTTTTGAAAGATGGATGTAAATTCATTTAAGTTCATGGGGACTTAAGAATTATGAATGCCTCAATTATGGAGTTATTCATGCATAATGTGTTTTCAGCTCATGGTGGATAAATATAGTGCATTACTGACAGAAAATCTTGCACAGTGGGGAAAAATGATGGAATGTGGTGACCTATAATTATTAAGATTTTAAGATTTTAGGAATTAAAAGAGAGAAAAACTGACAACAAGGATCTGAAACTTTATGGTAGGATTTAAATGAATTGGTTGTAGACTATTAAAGGAGACATACATGTATGCTCCAAAAGTGTTGCACAAGCATATGTTGGGGGATTAGACAGTACCTCACTTGCTCTAACCCCCCCCCTTTCATTTTATTTTTATTTTATTTTATTCACATGGATTTTTGAGCATTGGATAGGAAGCACTTGTTGTGCTTATGTAAATCCGCTGCTCATAAAACAAAATACAAATGTAAACATAAAGATGACATAAAGTATAGCATTAACATAAAATGAAAGTGGCTGGCGCACCAATACCTAGCATAACATTATTGAGATTGGTCAAATCTTCCAGAGTGGTGGATATAGTTAAACACAATATCAAAGATACGGCAGTTGGTAGGGTATGGGCGGGAGGGGCTACCTGTAAGAAGTAAAGTGCATAATGTGGCGTCATTTACGTTGAGTGGGTCGGAAGGAAGTATGTTTTCAAGATGAAGGCAAGATATGGATAACAACATTTTGGTCCTTTCAGTATTATAACATTTGCAGTGTAATAAATAGCGTTCTGGTGTCTCATTTGGATGCCCACATTTGCACTCGGGACTACTGATACAGTGATGCTGGAATAGGTGGTAGTTCAGCTGGTTGAAACCAAGCCTGAGTCTGGTAAGGTGAGTCACATGGTGTCCGTGGCCCTTTCATTGTTATATATTTTATTGTTGTTGTTCATTACTCAGGAAAGAGAGAAGATTTCTGGAGAAAAGAGCACCAAAGCGGAAAAGTATCAGCACTACACCCAAGATGTTTGTGGACAAGGCTATGAGAAAAAGGTAAGGTTATAAAATCACATCAGAAATACTACATGGAAGTATAGTTCTAGGTTAAACCTGTTTTATGCATTTCCTAAATTCACTCCAGTATACTTCATGGTAGTTACAAGTACCTTTCAATGAGAGAAGGAATTACTGTAAACACAGAACCTGGCATGGCATGTTTTGTGGTAAATGTTTTTGACTGAGTCATTTACAAAGGGACTAATTTGGCTTTTATGCTGCATGGTTAAGTATATATGTGAGTAGTCTACAATTTGTACAGCCTGCACCTGGGAGATAGCTATGCATAATAGCTGCCAAGGGAATAAGGCAATTTTGTACGTGATAACTGAAGTTAAAGTCATGTGAGGATAGAAAACTATGACTACTTGAGCAGGGAGTACATGCGTGATTGTAGCCTGGTATCCAGCATATTTTGTTTCCACTTGCTTGTTTCTGCAGAATAGCCTGGCACCATGGTCAATTTGATCATGTAGGCTATTACATGTATTTAGTTTGCATGTCCAATATTTCTCAAAAGCAGTATAATGGGCATCAAACTTACGAATGCCATCACAGAGCCTTGTAACTTGGAGCTGATCAACCAACTCTCACTTACATGTATGTATATACCTAAATGTCAAATGATCAGAGAACCAGACTGAAAGTAGATAAGGATGGATGGTAGAAGTTTAAAATATTCATGGGTATCTATTGATACCTTTTTTAAGCTCATGGTAACATTTATGTACTATGTTACACTTCCCACAGAAAAATGATTGAGAAGAGCAAGAAAACACAAGGAAAGACCAGGAACCAGCCTGGTGGTTCCAAGGCAAATACACAGCAAGAAACTGGAAACCTCAAACACCATACAAAGAAAGGTGCCACCAGCGATGAACCAACTGCCAAGTCACTGCCAGGGCCAAAAGGTGGCAATAAAAGAATAAAGAAACGAAAGCAAGCCAGCAACATTGTTTCCAAGTCATAAGGCTGCTTTGTTGTGAAATGCTGAGGTCATGCATGTATCTAATGTATGTAGTTTAATTTTCATACATATTTGATAATGCAAATGTTGCCTACCAAGAATTATCACAGTTTTTGTTCATTAGAATTACACAAATCTTAAAAGTTTGTTAACAATTACTAATGATAGAACTGTAACAGAGATGTGTATAAGGATCATGATGCCTTATTTCATGTTCTTCCTGTCTGTTTGACACAGTATTTAAACCAAAAATTTGCCAGAATTTATAGATTTGGATAAATTGGCATCAGTTACATTTTGCAATATCTTGGTTCAGTCCACTCACTGAAAGATTTGCGTCAGTAGAGGTAGCAAAATAGAAAGTACTAAGGAATAAAGTTGCCCACTTTGGCAGCGGAATTTTCTATGTAAATGATATTGGTTGGTCCTAATTCTACTTTTTACTGTGCCACGCTTCATTTATTTCAGATTAAGGGAAGTCTCATACTTGTCAGGAAGACATTCCCAACAATTTCAGACTTGGCATTTACGTATAATCAAAGACATTAAAATGTCCTTGGTATGATGTATGATTTCTTGTGAGGAATTGTTTTTCCTCTATGCTGATATCTAGTTAATAAAATTGGGATACTTAACTTTCGGGTTAATGAATTTTCAACCAATGTATGTTGATACACTAGGATATTCTAGAGGAGACAAAAGTTTGATAAAACGCGTCACGCACACTTCATAAACTTTCTGTGCGCACGTGCCCTCAAGCCGAACTTCGCCAAGGCCACCGTGATAATATTTCAACGGCATGAGAGCGCACGGACTATGATGAATTATGAGCTTTTGCAAGCTGCATAGAGCCAGTCATTTGTACTACTCGCAAAGCCCTGCTGGTATGGATATGATCACCGCCGCTACACTAATAGTCCAGGCTTGAAAGAAACTGACAAGCATGACGTACGATAGGGCTCGCTAATCTTTTACCAGTGTAGTAGTCACAGAGTTATCTATGCCGTTGCAAAAGCACTTCGTGTAAGTACACCATCTCCGGCTACTAGTGATAACATTGAGGCAAAAGAAGCTGACAACAGTGAGTTATGGTCCTGATCCTTCAAAATCTACAACTACATTTTTCAGGGGGCCGCTCTTTGCACCTTTCAAAATATGCACTTTTGGTAAGAAAAGCATTGGCCTTTTCGGGACTGATGCTTTTGAATTGAGTGATGCAGCTTGTACGTGTTATGGTAAGACTTAGATCCTCAAAGTTGGAATATTACACTTTCCTTTAAATATACGAAATAAACGGAACGGAAGAAAATCATAGAATCGCATGGATATAGACGGCTGTTATACAGGACAGAAAGACGTGGATAGAGTTTTGATAACGCGACTACAAAGACAGGAAATGTTGTAAAAACCCGCGTGATTGAGATACTATCAGTATGAATAGAGGCAGTTGGATAGACGGTAGTAAAAATGCATGTCAGACTTCTGCAAGGGCTTTGTAGCGGTACAAGAAAGGACCTTCTGCGTACAGTACTACGCATAAATCAAATTTTGCAATGCGGCGCCACTGTGCCGCACGAACGCGTCGGAATCCTGGCCATGGGATTTGTAAAGCTGGTGCCATCTGGTAGGGCGTCAGGCGAAATTGCAAATGAGGAACAGTCGTGAGCAAATGCAACATTTTTTTTCATTCCAGTATGCAGGGTACAGGGAGGAAAATGTCATATGGTAACCAGTAATCCGCACTCTTGACACAACATTTAGCTGCCTTTTATGGATCATGACATCCCGCTAATGTGGAATCATAACATAGATAATGTTGTCAATTTGATGAATAATTGATGATGAATTGAAGATACTTGGATCACGCACGAATCGGTATTTTGAGCTCGAGTTCTCCCTATCAAAGATCATGATTGATGTGTGTGGTCCTGTAGAGATATAATTCCCAGGAAGAAAATCCATTTCCAGTATCAGCAAAACGTGACAGATTGCCTGAGGATCCTTGCTTGCAGAAGTTTTTTTTACTGTTCCCTTGTCAGCCATATTTATCAAAGCTAAGATTTGCAGAATGGTTATCACGGTATGCAGGGGAGGCAGACATTTAATGTGACGCGCAGTACGATTCATCAGAGATTTTTCCAAGGGCCTCAGGGTTTCGAATAGGAGAGTGAAAAGATGATGATGCCACGCATTTTCTAACAAAGAAACAAACGCGCGCACGTACACACACACACACACATTCACGATCACACAAACATACACACACATGCACAAACATACACATAAACGCACATCCACACCACCATTAAATAACATAAGTCTTATTATGGAAATGACTACAGACAACATCTTTACTAGTAACAACAAACTTTATTTTCTCCACGGTAGAAGACATGGTAAGCCGACCAATACACCAAACCTAAAGCTTTGAAATGCTTTCAAAGCTGTAAAAATGGAACAAGATCACACGAACAAGGGTTCAACTGTAACACGTTTCTTTCTTCCGTTTGTATCTGTAGATGATGTGGTCTTCCATGGGGTGGGGGGGGGTTGTGCTTTTATACCTGTCTACTTAGATTCCAAGGCGACGAGTAATTTTGCTAAATTCAATTTAGGTGCGTCGAAATAAAAGTCAAATATAACCTTTATAGGCTTTGAATATTCATGATCTCATACATCGATTGTCACGTCGTAAATAAAAACATAAAGGCATCTCATAAAAGCCTCATGATTAAGAAAACCCTGTTTACCTCAAAGATTTGGATTCATTTCAAGGATGAATTAATACCGGGGAACATTACGTTTGATAATATTTAACTTGTTGACTCAAACTAATGTTTTATAGCTTGTGAATAATTTACAAATTTGTTTAGTTCTTGAATTAAATTCCTCCGCGTGTACGGGAAATCATATGGCAAGATATAAGGAGAACGTGATATCATATTACGTACAAGCTCTCTATGGTTTGTACACATTATATCCACACACCACTGAGATTCATTTTGAAAACATTACAAGACACATAATCAACTAACTAAATAATTATGGACACTGCTGACGTAACTTAAAATGTGTAAGAAAGGGTAACGCTCATACGTTTCAAGTTATCTGCTTGTAAGGTATTACGACATATTTCATCTTTGACACAGGGTGCGTTTCTTACATCGTAACATCTTAGAAATCTTTGACAAGATTGACAAGATCAGTCACTGATACGTTATAGAGCTTAACTACATGTAAAGTACATTGGACTGTAGCAGCAATACACTTCTTACAATTTACAAAATACCTTTGAAGCTTAAAAACGTTTGACCGCACTTTTTATACAGAAGGTACCACATATATCAACGGCAAACGTATTTGTTGCCTTGTCTGTCCCATCTAACAATAACATCTGTATAATACAACTGTCACTATCGTTGTAAAAGGCTTTGTTCAATTTACTGTTTGTCACAAGATTTTCAAAATCTATATACTGGGTAACCTGGGTAATCCAATGAAAATTCAAGGATAAATTTTGAAAAGTACATAGGTACTGAGGTACAAAGTGTGACAGTGCGACATAAAAACATGCCGGTGCTTTCTATGTATCAGTCTCCAGCTTATGTGTACGTACGCTTTACCGTATCCCAGTTTGCTGCACCAGGCATAATTATTTGACCAGAGGTCTAGAGATTTCATTAACTCGGTGTCAGCAAAGTATCGCAAGATATCGCGATATTACCATATCATCGACAATATCACAATATTTAATTGTCGATTCCTTGAGGCGCTGTTGGTCTACATACCATAACTTTTATTATTCGTTTGAATTCAGTTCTGAACCCTTTGTTGAAACAAGCGTACAGGATGGGATGCAGCATTCTAGATGCCATCATCAGCGCATAGGCAATCGTCTCCGCATCAGAAATCTGCGGGTCGTTTACGAATTTTTCGAAGGTCCCTACTAAAATAATGACAGGTAAGGGTATCCAAGCCAGTACAAACGTCAGGACAATGTACACTGACCGTCTGGCCGCTGACCGGTCCATGGTGGCTGTCCGTGATCGTGACCTATACTCGCCACTGTAACTCGAAGCTTGTGAAACCGTAGAGACCTTGGACAATGATCTGTCAGAGGAGAAAGATATCGTGGACAAACGCTCACGAGATATGACACGTTTGGCTTTACGGCGAGGTACGGAGAGGTACAAGTCCCTGCCTCCCTCACTTGGCGCGACAGGGAGGGTACTGATGACGTGGTTAGCGTCCGCTGGCATGTGGATGCCCGAGTCTTCTCGTAAGCTGACATCGTCACCGGCTATGTTATCTGACCGGTGATACCGGACGCATTCACCGTCGATGTCAACTGTAACTGACCCTTCGGCGGACGTGGAAATATCTTCTCCACCTTGTGAACTGTTCTCTTCACTGCTACACTGGTCCATCGGAAGATTCCAACTTATCCTTCTTTTAGCCGGCATCATTTGGCAATTTTTCTGTTCACCCTGGTTGTCAGGTTCGGGCTCAATGTTCTCACAATCATTTTCTTTCTCCTCTTCCTCTTCCTCCTCTTCTTCAATGACTCCCTCCTCGTGACTACTACGTAAGCTCAGAAGGCTTCTCAGGCTGGTCTTCCATCGTGGAGTCGAAACAGCAATAGATTCTCTCTTAGGCTTCTTCAAACTTTTATCAACCTGAGCCTTACTTGTAGGGTTCGAACAGGCAATAGATTCTCGATGAGGCTTTGATGACTTTTCAGAAGTATCAGGTGAGTAGCTTGGGGCACTCACTCGCCTCTCCTTTGCAATGTTGATGGGAGGGACTGCTAAAAACCGACCTGTGAAAGGTACGAGCTGTGGTGCACTTGGTCGACGTTCAAATTCAACGTCAACGGATGGCACCACCAGGTAATCGTCTGATTTTTTCCTAGCTTTAAACTCCGGGGGAAGTGACGTTACTCCTTTCCTCCTTGTCCGCATAGGTGAAGCAACAGGAGAGCGAGGTGACGACACAACTTCTGGTAAAGCCTTAGGCACCTCGGCAAGAGTCGTTAATTTGTTGTGTTCGTCTGCTACTGGAGAGGGTATACAGTCCTGCGCGGTAGGAACAGGCAAGATGTTTCCTTGTGACGGTTTCGGAGGTTCTCTCAGTTTTGTCAGAAGAATTCTGTCCTCCTCGTCTGGACCTGGCGATGACGTTCTCTTAAAATGAGGTACACTAACAGTGTTGTTTGCTTTTGACACAGCCAGACCATTGCCATTGTTGGGGTCTACACTTTGTAAACAATTATCGGATGGTGCTTTACATATTTCAACAGGGCTAGCAACAACAAGGTAGTTGTTGGCAATGGGAGAAGTTGGCACACAGAGGGTATCTGTCTCTATATTGGTGGATATTTCTATTGTAGTTTCATTTTCAGCCGTTTGAGTGGATCTACCTGTTTGATCTGGTACTGGTACAGCAAAGCAGATGTCTGATGAAGATCCGTTCATTTCGTTCAGGCTGGGGACACCGTCGTTCGAGTCGTTCGAGATGCTGTTTGACTCTGCTGTTTCGCTGTTGACTGGAGCAGCCAGCGGGTTGGCGGTTACAGACTTTCGTCTTTTCGGCGTTATTGTAGGCATCCCCGGGACGGTCAGGAAGTTGGATTTTGGGAACTTCCCCGCCTGTTTGAGGATCATGTCTTCAACACTACTTCGACGAAGGCAACTCTCCACATCTATTTCTTCCTCATCCTTAGGAGGAGTCATGCGGTACGTCACACTGTCCTTTCTAGTCGCTTCCTTGTCAGAAGTGACGTTGTTGTCCGGGTCTGGGCGGTCTGCCGAGACGCTTGGGGTGCAGGGAGAGCTGGAGTAGCAGGAGTTGGGTGGACTTGGTGGCTTCTGTGGTATGGACAGGGTAGCGCTGGTCGGTTCGTGGGGCGATGGGAGAGGAGAGCTATCCGTTAACTGTGGGGGAATAATGAACAAAGAATGATGCTCAATTATTCTGTTCCAATGATAACACCTTCTGCAGTCTGATTCTGACGAAGTGTCGCAAACATGTGAAATGTTATATTTACCTGGTGAGTCATGAGGTGTTGTTGCGACAAGAATGTGTTCCCAAATGTAACTGAGTCTACTGGCGTGATTTTGTTATCCAGTAGCCATTTTGTAGCCACTATAATATTATTTTCCTATGGCCTAACAATCTGAGGAAGCTATTCCAGGCTTTATTGTGTTGTTACCTACCTGAGAGGACAGGGACTGTGAGTTAACGGGTGCCAGGTACAGCGTCTCCTCTCCAGGCTCCTCCTCCGCTCCCGAGTACGGGAAGTCAGACGGCGTGCAGACGCTGGCGACGGGCGGCTCGTACGAGGAGGCCTCCGCCGGGCAGATGGCGCCGTAGTTGGGGGCAGATCCTCCATCCACCTCCTGTACCACGATGATTGGCTGTTTTGTTCGAGCTCGTCTTTTCACGTGGGTTCTGAGGATGACAGAAATTGCTTTTTTTACTTGTCCTTTTTTGCAGTAAAAGGTTGCATTGCTTTCAATTGGTCCTTGGTAGAACAACAGCACACAAAGATGAAAGTCTAGATAAGGGATCAATTCTTGAGGGCCTGCAAGGGGGGGGGGGTCCCGACAACGCTCTACGCTGAATTCGGAAACCTCTCGATTACGCTTTACGATAAATTCCAAGTGGCTACAACGCATTACGTAGAATTCAAACGCCGAATACGCTCTACGCAAAAATATTAGAGCGGTCCGTCTACGCTCTACGTAGAATTTAAACGGCCGATTACGGTCTACGGAAAAGGGCTTGCGGGCCTCCATTCTTTAGTCTTGGAATGAAAGACGAAGATTTCGTGTTTTTTTTATGACAAAGAGTTGATCAACCAACTTTGCTAGATGGATGACGGAAAGTCCCTACCTTACAGCTCTCACAATCATCAGGTAGCATCCGATGACCACTACCAGAGACAGCATCGCCAGAGGCACGAGATAGTAGATCTGCAGGGGGATGTAGCCCTGCGCGCCCGCCGAGTCTCTCATGATGCACCGCTCGTAGAAATTGGACGTGGTGGGCAGGGCGGCCTCCACCGACGCCACGGTCAGACCCACCGTCCAAGAGAACATGGTGGCACAGGCTACCCTCGTCACCTTGGTTCTGGAACTGATAGAAACAACGTTCATGTAAATCATACAAATAGTAAACGCTTGGGCCTATCGTCACTGGATAATAGTAGACAGAGGACGCTACAAACTAATTACTACTTTTGATGTATTCTTAATTAAGTGACAAAGGTCAGTGTTGTGCGGTCGTAATTTGAATTTATTAAGCTTAATTCTTTGCGAATAAGCAATGATTCAAGCAAACATAGTGTAATGATTGTAATTTGAATTGAACTTACAACTGTTCGTTTAAATTTGTATTCAATCTATGTACTGGTAACCATGTCCTTTATAGGTTACCTCAAGCAAAGCAATTTAGAATCTCAATGTCTCCCCACTGAATTTGGTACTTTGGACAAACGATTAGAATATAGCCTCAAATGTGTCTCTTCCACGAAATACCGGTACCGGGTGACCGATTCAGGTTCAGAATACAGCAATTGGCCTTTGACATAGCGTGTCTGTAGATGCTAGGTTGTACTAGGGTTTGTGTCCCATGGCTGTTTTCCCACTTTCAAATACTCAAATGGAGATTTCAAGGCTATGCTGTAGGACTAACAGGCCCCTGTGTCTACTTGAAGGTAAGCAAGGGATGTGTAAAATCCACAAAATTATAACTGCTGCATGGGCACATGGCAAGAGAACGCTGGAAATGATCATGCCCGTTTCAAATCATAAATTTGAAGCATGCACTTTTCTCCCGTAGCTGTTTCTTCTTAATGTCACTTCACAATACATGCCTTGAATCACCGAAGATGTTTTCTTCTCTACCTTGTCTCCTCTGTAGGCGACTAAATGTGATCATTATTTTCTGGCGGACAAATATTTTACATTTCCAAGTCAATCGCAGTATTTTGGATGACTTTACTTTCCACGATCAAAGTATCAAGCCGGCACTTCACAACCAATAACGCCAGCGGGTAATTTTCTCAGCCCCTCTTACGGACGTCAAACCTGGGCCGTGTAGAAAGCCATTAAAGCCATGTGATGGGGAGCCCACCATTATATCTTTGCTTCAAGCAGCTATCAAACATGTTCTAACGTCAGTCGCAGTGGGTGAGGGATTGGCCTTCAACTCCAGCAAACCCTAAGCTCCAATTCCCAGAAGCCGTTACCCGGCGATTGTCCCCGCTACCAAATTGCAGCGAAGTAAATTTGCCCTTGGGAGACATTAACGTGGGGACGAATCGGTGTTCCAACTGCGATTGGCGGTCATAATTGCTCGAAAGATTCTAAGAAAAATGCGATTCTATTTCTTGCATCCAGGAACTTCAAGGTTTTCTATCGCTCAAATATGAAATTACCGAAGGCGTAGCTACAGGCGTTTGATATGCTTGATAGTTCGTCTATGTATAAAGCCTCATACTATAAAACATCGTTGAGATCTGGGATTTGTATTTGGTGACCCATACCACTTTTAAGTTTTCCTAATTTATGACGGTGTCTTAGTTGCCAACGAAGAGTACTTTCACATTAAGTATAAAACCTTGTGTGTATATCAGTGTTAACACGTACTAATAGTAATTTATAGGCATTTAGTTATTTATGGAGTATTGCCAAGATAAGGCATACCTAAGATACCACATACTACAAATGGAGTAGTTGTAAATTATGTATGATAAATCCCCGGCCTATTACAACAGAAGCTAGTATATATGACATTGTGGGAGCAAGAATAGATACCTATCATTACAGAATACCTTCTCTGTTAGATTTTTTCAGTGTTCGACAAACGAAAAACATAACAATACAACGTCCATGTAGCAAACCTGATGTTGAGCAACAACAAAATAACATAAGCAACATGCATAACAACACATCAAAATTAAATGTGTAATACCACACATACTACACGTTAGGTGAACATAATGAAGAATATGGTATATGTGAATTGGAGCAGTATCACAAGTACTAGTAGATGAATAAAAAGAAAACAAATACAGTACATTGTACCTGCTAGTGCAGAACACTGTATTTTTGTGTCCACACGCCGGTCGGGTGAACATGATACGAGAGATGATTAATACATGAAGAGTGCTGACGTTGAAGGGCAAACCGGTCCAGAGTCTATTGATCTTTTATGAAATACGCAAGAGCCAGTCTGGCCGGGGAGATTACCCCTAATCCTGTTAGGTATGAAAGGTAGATGAAGGCTTCACCCTAGCTTATGTAACAAATGAGTTATGTAAGTGACAAAAGCTATGGGAGGGAAAGTTTTCTTTAAAGCGTCATGGCGTCGTAGTCTGATTTAAAAAATTGCATCCGTAAAGTTTGTTTACAACACGCTATTTTATAGATTTAAAGTTTGTTTCTTTGATTGCTTGTTACCTGACTCTCTTTGTACATATACATGTATTCATTTTGCTGCAATGTTTCCCATGGGCCTCACTGGAAAGTAGTGACTAGACAGAGTTGTAAACAGAAAGAAATTGATTCAACATCATCCCACGTCTTTTGCTGTTGGGGTATGAATATCGGGATTCATGTCAGGTGTAAAATCGGCCTTAGTAAACACCTCAGGCCGTGTTTCATGGTTTTCTGGCTGACAAGGCTTCATCTGGCTGCTCCATATTCATTCAAATAGAACCACGACTCGGGCTCACAAGGTTTACAGCGCTTTACTTGCTGGCAGCGTGCAGTGACGCACTAGTGGTAATGAGGATATGTTTCCTAGACAACAGAACGACTGAAGGTCTGGCTAATTCCGCGTGTTAAGGCTTAGTAGGCTGTTTGAGAGGATTTTCGGAGCCATCTTAGGGCCCGGATCTCAGTCGAGAAAGGAAACGATGACCGAAGGTTACACTTAACACGCCATATTGGATAAAACTATTGGGTAACTGGCGATGAGTACATGGTAAGCCTGTAAGTAAGGTTGTTATAGAAGTATGTAAAATGTTTGCCCTCATTTGTCACTGAAAGCAGATGATACGCATTATGGAATTCGGGTATCTAGAGGCTGTTGCGGTATGTTGAAGCAACTGGCAACGTTTTAAAATTCAAACGGATTTGATAGAAACAAAAAGTGCAGGTATCGACAGTTTAATCAAATCTTATCCTTGGTCTAATCTTAATTGACTTATCCATGGATGCAAACAAATGTTGATAGTCATATAATTTAACGGCAGAATAATTATATATTTTTTGTTTTTGAAATGATAAGAAAAACATTACTATGTTAGCTGCACATTAAGTTAATAGTAGAAATGGCTTACAGTATTTTCTTTTCGAATGGCCTTTAAAGCAGACGATTATAACTAGCCGGGCAGATTTTAAAGACTTTAAAAGGGCAGAATTTGAACAGTGCTCACCGTGCCAAGGTAGCGTGGCCCGCCCGGTGCCGCCGTGCAGGGCTGTAGTAACAACAATAACGTATGCTAAGTTATGCCGGAGGGGGATCTTATTTTACTAGTTACTTTAGGTAATATCTGTTCAACTTGTTATATTTTGCCACACCCCATGTCATGAATGAGGACGATAGCAGTCGTCTTCGACGACGAAGGACTACCAAGACATTTTCTGTCCTCAAGTTGGTTCATGTTATGCCTTCTCGTTTAAAGATCTGTACATGTAGAGCGTTTTTCCGTGACGTCATAGCTGTGTCCGCCGACATGCTGGTGCCCCTATTTGCATTTCATTAAATGATAGCTCAAGCTTTTTTTCGGACATTGAAAGATTTTCTGTCTCTTCCCAATAACCGGCATTAAATTTCTAGACCTTAAATAAGAGAAAAACCGAAGAGTGCTTCGAAACTTAATAAAAAAATTATGTGTCTGCTTGAGCTACGATCCAATACAATACAAATGAGGACACCAAAATGGCGGCCAGCCTGATTACATTTAAAATCCATATTGAATCTTTGTAAAACACTCTCGATTTCCAATGTTAGTTAACTTAATGTAGCCGAGTGTAGGAGCAAAATATGATTTTATCAAGTACTAAATTGAATATAATCTACGGAAGTCAAAAAGCTTTCAACGTAGACTTTCGAAGCCACCTGTTCAATTGTAAAGCATCAATATTAATAACCTGTTGTTTGTGGTGTACAAAACCATGCATCATGTGAGGGACCCGTAATGGCTTCGGGTAACAAAATGGAAAAAATTGCATTTACTTCGCAACACATGGGACCATACAGGTCAGCACCTAACACACAGTATCCAGCGCAATTGTCCTGTGAAATGTTCCAATGGCTCATCAAATGGCCCTCCTGGCCAGGTCTAGTAGTTCCCAATCATATCTACGTGGTGAGTACTGAAGTGCGATGCGTAAACATCGTAAATCTTGAGCGGGACGCTTCAGACTAATGCAGTTATCCTTGTGTCGGGTCAAGCTTTATGACCATATGCGACTCTGGAAAGTTCTCGAAAACTTAAGAGTCGCATTCATTTTGGATGACAGATCACTTTATAACGCAATTTATGCTGATAACAGGTTTTTTTTTGGACATGGGATCATAAGACTATATTTACAGGCTCATAGCAGAATCTACCGCCTGACATGCAGTGATAAAATATGAAGATCAGGCTTAGTTTAAGTGATGGGAAGAAACCTGCATATTCCAAGAGACATCCTTTTTGAAATAATGTGATGAATAACTACATTTCCCTTCATCAATACTATACCATGTTTCTGAACAACTCTTTACCCTCTAATGTTTGTACATACATCTGTGGATATTTGTGCCATTCTGTGCGTTCAGGAGAATTTACAGAGAATCTTTATTGACACAACAATAAGTACAGGGACTATTGTATGGTCTTCTACAACTAAAGATCTAACAAGTTAAATACATGTATACGTATGGATTACGTCATCCTACGTACAGAATTTATGTATGCGGCAGTTTACGTACAGAGTATATATCAATGGTAACAATAAAGGTTTAACTATTCTCTAACATGTAGTCGCTTACATTGAAACATTCTTTAATGTATTTTCCTATTTGAACTCGTCGGCACTTTCAG